AATGGAAACTAACACTACTAAAAGATAACATGGGAGAAAAATCTAGGTGAACTTAGGTTTGGTGATGACTTTTAGGATACAATTGTCAAAAGCATGATCCATGAAGAAAAAAATTGCTAAGTTCTTCATTTTTAAAATGGAAAACCTCTGCTCTGTGAAAGACACTGTTAAGTAAATGAAAAGAGAAGCCTCAGACTGGGAGAAAATATTTGCAAAACACAATCTGATAAGGACTGGTATCCAAAACATACAAAGAACTATTAAAACCCAACTGTAAGAAAACAACCCAATTAAAAAATGGGCAAAAGATCTGAACAGATATCTTATCAGTGAAGATATATAGATGGCAAATACACACAATAAAAAGTTGCTAGACATCATAAATCATCTGGGAAGTGCAATACAGCAAGATTCCTCTACGCACCTATTAGAACGGACAAATTTTGAAAAACTGGTAACACCAAAAGCTTGTGTTCCACAGAAACTTTCATTCGTCGCTGGTGGGAATGCAACATGACATGGTGCCTTTGGAAGATAGTTAGCAGTTTCTCACAACGCCAAACATAGTCACCATACAACCCAGCTATTGCACGCCTAGGTATTTACCAAAATGAGTTGAACACTTACATCCACACAAACCTGCACGTGAATGTTTACAGCAGCATGTTTCATAATCAACAAAAACTGGAGGCAACCAAAATGTCCTTCAACAGGTGGATAAACGAACATGTACATCAGAGGACAGAATATTATTTCTTAATAAAATGAAACATGCTATGAAGTCATGAAAAGACAAGGAGTAATCTTAACTGCATGTGGCTAAGTGAAAGAAGCCAATCTGAAAAGGCTACATACTATATGATTCCAAACACGTGACATTCTGGAAAAGGCAAATCTATAGAGACAGTAAAAAGATCAGTAGCTGCCAAGGGTTAGGGGGTTGAGCTGATGAATAAACAAGTGGAGCACAAGGGATTTTTAGGGTGGAGGAATTATTCTATATGAAACTGTAATGGCAGATGCATGACATTATGCATTTGTCAAAACTCATACACTGTACAACACAAAGAGTGAACTTTAACGTCAACTATGGACTTCAGTTAACAACCATGTGTCAATATTGGCTCATCAATGACAGCAAGTGCATCACAATAATACAAGATATTAATAACACAGGAAACTGGGAGGGGGTATCAGGAAAATGATTTTGGAACTGTCGCCGATGGCGTCAATTTTCCTGTAAATCTAAAACTGTTCTAAAACATAAAGATTATTAATTTAAAAAAACATTTTTTTCTAATAGCTAGTTCAAAGGAGAGGTCAAAGTGAGGTGAAATTGTCAGAGAAAGCATCATGCAAGAAGTGAAGCTTTAGCTGGGTCCTAGAGGATACACAGGATTTCTAGAATTAGAAAGGACAAAGGGCATTTCAGCTGGGATTGAGGCATGAAAAAGACTCAGAGGTCTCAAATTTCGAAGGAACAGGAAATAACACGGAATAAATCAATGCAAAGACAACAGGCAGCAATTTAATGGAAGTTAGGGGCTAAGCAAGGCTAGAAGTGCTGAAGCATCGATTCCAATATCAGATAAACGTGGGCATGGGGAGCAGACTTGATGTCAGCTGAGTCCTCAACACACATTCATTCGTTCCTCCATCTAGTCAATAAATATTTAGTATGCACCTCCTATGTTCCAAACACTGTGATAGGCACTGGGGACAAGCATTGAATAAAAGAAACAAAAATCTCTGTTCTCACTGTTCTCCTCCAGTGAGAGGAGACAGAACTCACCTGGGGTTTTCAAGAAACAGCAAAGAAGCCATTATGGCTGGAATGGAGTGACGGGGGAGGGAGAAGGTGAGACAGATAAGACGCCAGAGTATGTAGGGCACTGAGTCCAGAATAAATAAGCACTTTACCTTTTACCCTGAGACACTTAGGGAACAACTTGGAGGGATTTTAAGTGGTAGAGTGGCTTGATGGACACCTGAATACGGTCACGGTCTCTTCTTTGTTCAGACTAGACAAGCAGGTAAGAGTGGCTATAGGGAGACCAGAGAAGCTGTTACACTCATCCAGGTAAGAGAAGATGGGGGCTTGGAACACGGTGTTAGTGGCGCAAGTGGTGAGGAATTGATTGTAGACTCTGAAAGGATTTGTTGATGGACTCGGCGTGTGTGAGTAAAGGACAAAATGACTTGGCTTTAGGCCTGGGAAACTAACTTGAAGAAAATGTTGCCAGTGACTGAGAGAGAGAGAGAATATGGGGGGAGCAGGCTCACAAACAGGACCGAGCCCCTTTCCAAATTCAGCGAAGCTGTCTTGAAAGGGAGCGTGCCAAGAGCTAGAGATCAGAACAAGGCTACGATGCAGTTAAGTGGGCAAGACTAAGTCAAAGCACGTACAGGAAGTGAGGCTAGGCAGGTATTCATTCATCAAACATTTCCTAAAATCAACCAGTTTCTGCCAGGGATACAAAGAAAACTCAGACATCTTCCCTTCCTGGAGGGAAACTCAAATACAAGTAAGCGATTGTAGTACATTAAGCATCATAGGAGAGGTATTCAACGTTTACCGAATCCCTGCAACACGCCAAGCAGTGTGGTGAGAAAGCAGGAGCTATGTACAAAGTTCTATGAGAGCACGCGCACACACACACACACAAATTCTCGCAAAGGTTTGTACATTCACAAGGGTTTTCACCACAGTATGACCATCAGGGAGTTGGCAGTAACCAAGACGCCCGGCACTAGGGAAATGTATCAGTAAAATCGATGGACCACTCTGCAGCAGTAAGAAGCAAAACACTAGGATATATTTGTGGATCTAATTCAATATGGATATAATGTGGATATAATTCGACAACATAATGTTGAGGGAAAGCAGTAAGAAAAACGTTTCCAGTCCATTGCCATCTCTGTAAATGTAAAAGCATACACAAAAACTGCAGGTCTTAAGTTATCAAGGACCTATATCAACACATTGCAGTTGGTATCTCGAGGAAGAATGAAAGTGGGTGTTGAGTAAGACAAGGGAAAATTATATCAACAATGTAAAATAATATAAATAAGAGAGGGGCCTGGCAGGGACTAATGATGATAATATGCTGAGGATTGAGGAGCAAAGTTAACTGAATTCTCTGCACCTGAGGTAAAGTAACTGGCTAATAGGAATCCATCTGATAACCCTCAGGAGAAGGGTTGTTCTGGGGAACCGGAAGTGTATGAGTAGAGACATGGAGGCATGAAAGTGAACCCCAGGTTCGGGGAACAGCACCAGGTTTAGCATGGCTTCTAGAGGTTGTGAAGAGCCTATAGTATTTGAAAGCCCTGGGTGAACTGAATAACACCCTACACATTGGTGGGATGGCCATTCTAATCAATCCGTCCCCTTTGAGTACATTAGGGCGAAAGAGCATATGCTCTGCCCCATCCAGCCTCCGGTGAGATTCTTTGAGCTGTCCTGCGGTCTTCACATCTTGTGACTATTCCAGTGGGTCATTCCTGTGTACTGTGGCCTCAAGGAATGTGGCCCTTGATCCACTGCTTTAAAACTGGAGCTCCACCCCAGTGACACTGCTGCTCTGACCAGGAGTTGCGTGGGAAGGGAACTGGAGGCCCCAGCATGCCTCTAATTCTGGGGCATCTGCCCGGGGCCAGTTCACCCCACCTCCACCAGCTCAGGGCTGCCAGTTAACTCTCTCTGGTCACACTGCAGCTGGAGTCATTTTCCAGCTCTGACCACCCCTCTACCACCCCAGACTGGGTCCCATCCCACTATCAAAGGGTGTACCTCATTCTTCATAGCCCTTATCACAGTTGCAACTCGACATTTACTTTTCTGATAATTTACTTATGTCCACCTGTGCCTCTGGGCTCCAACTTAAATGCTGGCAATCTTTCTCTACTTTTTTTCTTCACCAATTTCTCACTAGCACTTATCACAGTGCCTGGTATGTGATAGGGGCTCAGGAAACTTCTCAGTTGGATACAAGCCTTCCAAAAGAAACCCAGGCCAAAGTGGACACAAGTACACTGCAGAAACAGGAATGAGAAAACGCTGCGGTTTGTTGTACTGTGGAGGGTAAAGGGGGAGAGCTGCAACAGGAAACAGGTGCATTGGCTCCTGTAGACAGGTCACCTGACTACTGTACACGTGCCCACTCCGCCGCCCTGTCCAGGGTGGGTATATAGTAGGGGCAAAATAATAGGAAAATAAACAGTAAAGGAATTAACAAGTGCTTCAGACATTTTTTTTAAACGTATGTCAAGTAGAAGTATGAAAGTGAATTGGCGGACGGGAAGTACGTGGTCAGTGCCGGGTCTGAGGGAGGACTAACATCTGCAGAGGTGCTGACACAATCCGCTGTCTCTCAGAGGACACAGGATGTATCTACAGGGCAGCCCAAAATCTCTTGGGGAGGGGGGCGGCGTTATTCTCACCTTCTGCCTCTAAGGGCCACACAAGCCTGGGTCACCGTGGTTGCCACTGTAACTAGTTCAAAGTCGTCTTCAATCTAATTCTTCACCTTTAGGCTTGACCCGTACTCCACCTCCAGCTCAATCAGACTGTGCCCCACTTAAAAAACAAAACAAAAAAACCAAAAAACCCTCCAACCCAAGCCAGCCCAGACTCGAATATGTGAAAACACTTGATCGCTACAGGAAGATCTTTCCCACGCCTCCACTTGACCGTCTCTACAGGAACAGGCGCTCTGGCCCTCGCCAGGCGACACGAAGCGGCGCGACCTCGGCCAGCGGTGGGACCTGTCACCGCCCTTCCCGCCTTCCCGCCTCCAACGAGCCCGCGCACGCCTAGCCCGCGCGCAGTACGTGTGGCCCGGCCCCCAGCCGCTTTCCAAGCAGCGCGCATGCGCGCTCCCCTGGGCCCGCGGGGAGAAAGAGGGCGGGGCCGAGGGGGGGGCCAAGCCTGCGGGGGGAGGGGCGGTGTCGGTCACGTGACGCTGTTTCACTGTTTACACGCGGAGCGGCCAGAGCGTTCGGCCTCAGTCAGGCGCTCTGCTCCGTTTCGGTTTCACTTCCGGTGAGGGGCCGCCTCCGAGCGGGCGGTGAGCCGACGGCGAGCGCGGGTGGCGGCGGTGACGGCGGCGCCGCTGCCGGGGGGCGTGCGGGAGCGCGGCGGCGGCGGCGGCGGCGGCGGCGGCTGGGCCTCTTGCGCCCGCAGCCCACCTCTCGGGGGCGGGCTCCCGGCGCGAGCAGGGCTTTCGAGAAGATGGAGGAGCTGGTGGTGGAAGTGCGGGGCTCCAATGGCGCTTTCTACAAGGTACTTGGCTCCAGGGCAGGCCCCATCTTCGCCCTTCTTTCCCTCCCTTTTCTTCTCGGCCTCGGCGGGAGGCAGGCCTGGGGCCCTCTTCCCGAGCGCCGCGCCCGGGGGGTCACGGTGCGCTCGTCGGGATGTTGTTTGGGAGAGAAGGACCGGACTTAGGGCCTGTAGGAAGCCCCTCGAACCCCGCTGCCTCCTATAAGAGGCCCCGGCGCCTATCGGAATGAGAGCGGGCAAGGAGAAGAGGATGTCCTCATGGGGGCCGAGGGAGAGCGGGGGATGAGCAAGGGCCGGCGGCAGGTACAAGATCCCGGCGGGAAGGGCCGATATCCGCGCGAAGTGACGGCGACGGCTTATATCCCTTTCCTAAATATCCTCTCCCAGTGGGATCCGGGCCTGACGTGTGGGTAGTTGCCGAGTAGCTGGGGGCGCTTCCGTAGAGCCGCCTCCTGCCTCGCACCGAGGGTTTGAGATCTCTTTTGGCTTCTCTTTTCCGGTGGTCCAGCATGGGGACTTCGGAGAGCTCCGCTGTTCTGGGCAAGGGGTGTAAAGAAAGAGTAAGAAGCTGTAGTCGGTACCGAATCACAATGGCAACTGATTTTTAGTGGTCTCTCTTTGTGGATTTCGGAAGAGATTTTAGATCCAAAAGTTTCAGGAAGACCCTGACATACCCGAGTAATGCATTAGAGAAGTTTGTAATCTTAAATATTCGCGGCCCCCTCCCTTGTTATAAATGCGGCCAAATTCAGGAATACAGATGCTTCAGCGTCTGAAAACATAGCAACTCTGCTACTTCAGAAAACAATTTTTAACCCTCCAAAGGCCTGAATATATGCCATAAAACTTCAGGAAATTAACTGGGAGTACATTATTACTAGAGAATTTTAAATCGCGAGTCGAAATAGTTGTTTTGTGCTCCAAATACTTGACTATATTTTTTTCTCAGTGTGTAATGTTGCATTGGACAGTATTATTGAGGTTTTAAATAGGCACGCATAGTAGTCGGTTTTTCTTTAAGTTACACCACTGCAGATCAACTAGTATCTTACATTTTCAAAAGGAGGATTTAAAATATTTTTAACGTATTGGTAGGGCATCTGTTGGTAGTACTCACTGTAGATCTAGTAATCTATAAATTCTCGTTTTCTCTTGAACGTTTATAACTCGTGTAGGTAAAATCCCACCTTAGTACAGGATTTTGGCAATAGAAGGTACATATGGAAGGAAGCATGGAAATTTGCTATTGTCATTGTCCAACACATTTCTTAAATTATAGCATAACTTCAACATTTCGGACGAGACCCAATTGGCTATGGGAAAATTAACAAGTGACTTCATACGTGTGTATTTTTACCAGTTTTGTGGAGATATTTGGGGATCAACGTTATTTCATAAGTGTGTAAAGTATGTAAGCTGCTCCACACATTTAGCCAAAAGATAAAACCTGTAGCTATGAAACGAAAAACCCAACATTTATTAGTCTCACTAATATAAAATTGTTTATGTTGATTCTGTAGTCAAAATGTTGGTTATGTTTATTTTTGTGATCCATAATAATTTCTGCTAGTTAGTGTGGAATCATTCTGGTTCCTAGATGGGTAGTTGTTTGGATCACTAGATTTGTGGTGCTGACTATAATCAATATAAACAGGGGTTAATGGTTGGGCAGTGTTCTAATAGATCACTGACTGATACTAGCTTAGATTGCACACCACTCTTACTGTCTTTCAGTGGAGTTTGCCTGCTCTGAGAAGGCAAGTAGCACATCCTGGCCTTGAAGGATTTATTGTTCCCTTCCAGCAACGTATCATTTGCTCGGGTGATTTTGCTGGCAAACTGATTGGACTATAATAAGAAATGCCCACTGTCTTTGCTATTAATCCCCCATTTTAGTTTAGTTGGTTTTTTTTTTTTTTTTACAAATATGCTTTTAATGTGAAGATAAATAAAAAGAATGGAATGGATTCTCCCTTAGTTCCTTGAAGGGAAATGTGAAACAAGATCAAAAACACGTAGAGAAATTACTGTTATGTTCACTTAAAGTTTATTTTTAAGAAAGAAAACTTCAAATGGTCTGTACTGGTACAAAAATAGTTTAGAGGTTTAAATTTTTATAGGACTCAAAATATTGTCGTGAATTATAAAGAAAATCAAAAAGTAAATTGAGTTGTTTGTCCAGTAAGATGGGCTGAAAAGATGGGAAATAAAGACCAAGAAAAAATGAACTATTATGGAGAAACATTACATTTATGAAAAAGACAGGAACCTAGTCCACCAAACTGATAGAAAAGCCTTTAAAAACTGAACAACTCAAACAACTTCAGTATAAGTGAATTCAGACTTTGATTTGCCTGACAGAACCACCATATTGCGAGGGATGATTCTCCATCTTCTCAGCACATGGTCCAGGTTTACAATATAAACTGGATAGAGTATAGCCTCAAATATTTGGGTTTTTTTTCCCTGCAAAATAACTAAAGCTCAGGATTCAGAATTAACATAATCATGAAACGTAAACTCTGAGATTAGACGATTCATTTCTATTTTTCCCTCCGGTGTTTATTGTTAAAAACTTGTCAGAGCCACTACTTCTATGCTTACTTATTCCTTTGACTTAGAAAAAGTTAGTTTTATGTACAACTTAGAGTCTTATGTTATTTAAGACATGAAGACACTTGAACAAACCTCACAAAATCTTTAAAAGCATCTCCTAAATAAATAATATTGAAATAAGTTCTTTATTCTAGGGACATTTGCCTAAAATAGTGTCGTGGTGGCTTTTTGTTCTGCTTTGTGCACGCGTGTGTGTGTGTGTGTGTGTGTGTGTGTGTGTGTGCGCGCGCGATTTCTTTTGGGGAGGATATGATAGTTCTGATGTATTGAGAATATAGAATGTATGTCATTCTGGTATGAACGTACTAGTATATCCTAAGGTTCCTAGGTTTTGGATACTAGCATGAAAATTACTAAAGTTGGATAAATCATGTGTTGGAATCATAAGATAGTTTTCTGAAAATATACTTGACATCTGATTCAATATTATAATATGGTGTGAATATGCTAAATTGTATTCTTATTTTTAGATTTTAATTTAATATAATGTTTTTAAGTTTGGTATCTGATGACAGACGTTCATGTGGTGAGTAATATTATGGAGCTAGCAGCTACCTTATGACAAAATATATAATCAAGGAGTATTTTTAATGAAGAAATTAGTGGCCCAACATGTCATGTTACCTACATATGTAGCCTGCTAGAAATCAGTGTTTTACTACAGATACGTTTGCAAAAGGCATTATTCATGTTTTCTCTGAAGTCTCTACATCTAACTTTGCATTATAGGTGTTATGTACTTCAAGGAAGTGGATTATTCAGGTCAACCACATTTTTTTTTTCTTCCCCGAGTCTAGCCTTTTTAGGGTTTGGTGTCTTTGTGGAAGCATCATTTTGCCCCTTCTGAAGTGTGCATTTTCATACTTCATGCTACCACATTCTGGAAACCTCCAAATTAAATACAAAACTTGTAGTATAATAATTGGGTTTCTGCTTCCTGTCCACCGTAGCAATGTGTTTCCTGAGATGACTGTGATCATGATCAGGATAACTGTTAAGAGGTACTGAGGCCTTCTAGGTGCCAGGCACTATTCTAGACACTGTACATCTGTAAATAATTTATTTAATCCTCTCCCACAATCTCGAGGTGCTGTTGTTATTCCCATTTTATACATGAGGATGGAGATGTACAAAGAGATTAGGTAAGTGGTTTACTACTGAGCCTCATAGCAGGTAAGGGTCCTCGGATTTGTGATATCAGGTCAGAGAGTCTGATTTCTGAAATGATGAAATGTAGCTTAAAGAAATGAACTGGATTTGATTTCCTTCTCTCTTTCAAATTTTTTCGTACCCTTTGATTGTATGTTGTACTGTAACACCTCCTTAGTGGCATTCTACAAGCAAGGTGACGTTACCACTTTGTCCTGTTGCTTCTCAAAGATGCCATGACATATGCAGCTTCTTTATCAGCTTTTTCTTAACTCTCGCACCTTGATATTTTACAATCTAATTCTTCCTGAGAATGCCTACTGAGGAAAGAGAAAGTTGGAAATCTTTGACCTCGCTATGAAATTGCCTTTGTTATATGGAGCACATAAGAACTGAAGCATTAAAAAGTTAGAATGCATACACACACAGGAAAGCTCATACCGCTCTCTCTGTACCTGTGTGTTACCTTTGGGTCAGGCTGAATCAGAAAGAACGCAGTTTTCCCAAAATTTGTGGTAAGTGTCCAAGTAAAGTCAAGTAACCCTGGACATGCGCTGGGGTTGGAAGGGTTGACAGTGAGGTTAATTGTGCTTTTTTTCCCTTTCTGTTGTTTGGGCCCACATACCGAGGGTGACCATGATAACTTCGTATGTCAAGCCTTGGATTTGGATTCTACATCCCTATCCTCTGATCCTGTGGGCTTTCTCTAGGAGGGACATTTTGTAATGCTCTACATTTTCTCTAACGAGAATTATCATTGCACTATGTGTGTTGTCCTCAGTGACAGCAGAGTAGCTGTGTTCATTGCGGGTCAGGGGCTTACATGGAAGTACATGTAGGTTGTCTGTATGATAATGACTCTTGTGACCAGTGACTTGTGGCCAGTTTGTGAGTTTACTAAGCTAAGAGTCGTGTTGGAGGGTAAGAGTTCACCCAAGTAGGGGTGGACTTCTTAGCTCCATCAGTCCTGCTAGTGTAACATTTGAATTGTCATTGCGCGCTTTTGCTAAGTGTGATTTCCCTGATAGCTTCTGTGATCTAGTTGCCAGTAAGTTGGAGATCCCATCATGGCTTTTTGGTTTCTTGTTTGTTCCCCTGATTACGAGCCTGTATCTGTCTTTAGCACTGCACTTTCCCATCTTTGTCAAACCCTGAAGACTTTCATTACATCTTCTTCTTCTCAGAGTCTAAATAACCTTTCAGTATTTAGTACCTTTGAGGAAATAGCCTTTTTTCTTTTTGTATCCCGGTTTTTAAGTCTTTTCTTTTTTTTTTAATGTTTTATTTATTTCTAGGAGAGAGAGAGAGAGACACAGCGTGAGCAGGGGAGGGTCAGAGAGAGAGAGAGAGTCACAGACCGAAACAGGCTCCAGGCTCTGAGCTGGCAGTCAGCACAGAGCCCGACGCGGGACTCAAACCCACGAACCGCGAGATCATGACCTAAGCGAAAGTCGGACGCTTAACCGACTAAGCCACCCAGGCGCCCCTTTAATTCTTTTCTTTAGTGTGCTTTTGTTGAGATGTAACTTTCTCAACTGCAAGAGTATTTATGGTTCTGCATCTTTTATAACACACACCCCTCTCTGCTTTACCTCTCATTTATTTAGTGCCGATTGTGTGCCAGGCAGGCATTGTAGGCACTAGACATGTGTGATTTCATTACAGCCCCCTTGGGTGGCAGGCCCAGTTCCCCGGTACCCATGTGTTACTAGCAGCTGAGGAGTCTGAGGCAGAGACCACTTGGAGACTCTCACAGCTCAGCAGGTAGAACCAGAACTTGGAGCCTCGGTCTCCTTCACAGCAAAACTCTTAACCACTAAGTTTCCCGAGTCCCATAAGAGCCTGGCTCTCACTCAGTACAGTGCAGCTCCCTTTGTGCGTTCTAATCAGACCCATTGAGTTTGCCTTCTCTGGTGACCTCCGGGATCCCCTGAATCTCTCTTCTCCCCAAATATCAACTTAGCTTGGTGTAGATAGGTGGGAATCACCGCAAAATGTAGGCTTCCAGGTTGGTGGTGGGTAGGATGATAATGCTCTAGAGGTGTCCGGGGAACGAGGGTATGTGTGTTGGCATAATAAGGGAGGGGTGGCCAAAAGAGTGGCTCCTGGTGAAAGAGCGTTGAGCCACAGGAACATGGGGACCCTGGTTGGAAGTGAACAACAGGTTAGTAAAAAGGTCTCCGCAGTCAAGGAGGTGTTTGTCCTTGGTGTGAGGGCAGACCAGATGCAACCCATGGTTTCTTTTAGTCGGCTTGTTACAGCAGCAACAAGAAGGTATTCTATGCTTTCTGTATTTACTTAATATGCAAACAGTGACTAAAAATGACTGATTTTGGAATAGTGCTACAAACAGCCACATGCAAATAAACCTCATTGACTAGAAAGCTAAGGGCTACTAGGCTGTGATGATTATTCAAACCGTTTCTGACACTCTACATCCAGAATTGCCTTCAAAGCCTTTTGTTGTTAATAGTCCCAACAGTTGCAGATCTTCCTGCTTTGAGAGAATGTTTGATTTTAGGAAGTAGGCAAATGTGGCGAATGAGTATGATTAAACTGTGCAATTACTTTTTTGCAAAAAGCGAAAAATAACAGCAATAAAGTAATGAGACTGACTTTTAGAATGCTTTTTTAAGGTGGATTTGAAAACAGTCCCCAACTTTTGTAAAATGTTTTAAATCGGTGCCATCCAGTGGAATTTTCTGCAATGCTGGAAGTGGTCTCTACCTGTGCTGTTCACTACAAAAGGCACCAAGGCGTGCGGCAGTTGAGCACTTGAAATGTGGCAAGTATGACTGGGCGACTGATTTTTTTTATTTTATTGTAATTAATTTGAATATAAACAGTCACACGGCCTGTGGCTGCTATGGTAGACGGCATATTTTTAGACCTGAGCAATGGTATTGGAAAGATGCCTAATTAAGTGAGAACAGTTTTTCACTCCTCTATAACAAGGTTCTCTTAACTGACTAAAGGACTTAACATTTTTTGCATAGTATACAGTAAGGAACTAATGTTAATTACTGCCACAACATGCATACATAAAACTTGAGACAAGAATGAAAACAGAATCGTGAGCAAGCAGGGGAGGAGCAGAGAGAGAAGGAGAGAGGGAAATCCCAAGCAGGCCCCTTGCTGTCAGCGCAGAGCACGACTTGGGGCTCGATCCCTTGAACCACAAGACCATGACCTGAACCAAAATCAGGAGTCATACACTTACCTGACTGAGCCACCCAGGTGCCTGGAGCGTCCGACTCTGAATTTCAGCTCAGGTTATGATCCCAGGGTCCTGCAGTTGAGCCCCATATTGGGCTCCACATGGAGCATCAAGCCTGCTTAAGAATCTCTTACTGTCCCTCTACCCCACTCCCACTCTCCCGCAGCTCATGTGTGCACTTGCTCATGTTCTCTGTCTCAAATTTACAAAATTTGGGGGGGAGGGGTCCCTGGGTGGCTCAGTGGGTTAAGCGTCCAACCTCGGCTCAGGTCATGATCTCATGGTTTGTGGGTTCGAGCCCTGTGTCGGGCTCTGTGCTGACAGCTAGCTCAGAGCCTGGGGCCTGTCTTCAGTTTCCGTGTCTCCCTCTCTCTCTCTGACCCTCCCCTGCTCATGCCATCTCTATCTCTCTCTCAAAAATAAATACAACATTTGAAAAAAAATTTTTTTAATGAAAACAAATAATGGCCCTTCTTGGTAAACAAGGAGTCTTGATTTTAGTCCTTGATGGATTCCCTCCCCTCAAAAGTGGATTGTTAATTTTGTATTAGCTATGAGGTCAAGAGAAAGGAGGAATTGGGGGTGGGGTTGTCTGCTATTCCTATTAATAATTTTGGGGACTTACTTATAAAACTAAGAGTGACTAACTCCAGTAACTAACTCAAAATCAAACCTTTCTTTTGCTGAAGTAATAGGCAAACAACCCCTTAGAGTACTCATGGCATGCACCCTTGTGTAATCTAGTATATTCCAAAACATCATGGTTAGTATTAAACTAAAGTTTTCAAAAGATGCTGTAGAAAGTGCTCATGATTTTAAATATAGCTGAGGAAAAATGGGAATAAAATATGGATTCCTCCCCACCTTTAAATCAGCATTTATAGAAATATATGGTGCATGCTGAAATAATTTAGCCTTGTTGGGTATAGCAGAACACTTGGATTCCATTATAGTCCACCTTGGTCTTATAAGGAAACTTTTTTTTAGCATAGCTTTGCTTTTATTCTAGGAGACATAATTGCAGAAGATTGGTGTCTCTGTTTATGTAGCTTCCATATAAAAGTTTTCCAGGGCCCTGCCTCATCTGCCATTGTTTTTCTTAAGAGCCACTAATTAATACTTGGCTGATATATTTTAATTTTGTATTTGGAGAAGTTTAAGATTTGTTTTAATTCTTTAACTTTGAGCCTCTGAAGGCTTTTACCAAGACTTTTGCCTGGATCACTTGTTTATAGTTTTAGGTCTTACATTTTGGTCTCCTACATTTTCAGGTTTTGTGTTTTGTTTTTTGTTTTTTATATGGTCTGCGGAAAGAGTCAAAAATTTATTCTCTTGCACGTGGATATCCAGTTGTCCTGGCAGCATTTGCTAAAAGCACTATTCTTTTTCCCCGTTAAGTTGTGTTGGCCTCTGTGTCCACAAAGGATTTCTTTCTACCACATCCCAAGCTGTTTCTCCAGATCAAAGCCATTGTTCCTATTTTTCCTTAGGCCTGGCTTGCTTGCTCCATCTTCCACTCCCTTTTGTGTGGCCCAGTCTTCCTCAGTCTTCCAAGGTTGATAAGGAAACTCCCCTTCTTCACTTTGTCTTCCCTGATGAACACAATACAACACACACACACAATTTTTCCTCTATGGGTAGTATAGGAACCCCTTGGGCAGTGGTCCATTTCATTGAGTTCTTAGTAGGCACTCTGAAGTCCAACAGTAAGTAAAATAAGACCTTAGGAAACTTCCTGTCAGTGGCGAGATGAGCAGTTGTAATATAGTAGGCTGAGTTTATAGTAGGAATGAGCATAGGATCTGCTGTAAGAATGCAGGCACAGAATTTAACCTAGTCTAGGTTTGCCCATAGGCAGTGACATCTGAACTGAGAGTTAAAAGACTAATAGGAGAGGTAGCTAGATGAAAAGAGGGGAAGAACAATGGGAAAGAAGGAACAGCATTTACTGAGAGGCCCAAGTATTTTAGCACTGCTGGATCAGCCGCCTCCAGGGATGTGAAAGATGAAGCTTGGAAAGGTGAGGGGTGGGGCCAGGTCATGCAGGGCCTTTTACAGCCAGAAAAGGAGTTTGGCCATAATCCCACAGGCAGGGAGAAACCATGGAAGGAGAGAAACGTGAACAGAACAAATTTGAGTAAGAAGCTTAAATCTCTCAAGCCATTTTAAAATGAATTAAGGTATAAAGCCCCTTGGGTTTCTTTATGCTTTATCCTACTCCTCTAATTGTCAAAACAAAAACAAAAACCTTTCCTGCACCTATTAAAAACTTAATTTTATAGAATTACGGACAGCATGCTGCTTAAAGAATTCTTGATAATTAGTTAGCTATTACTTTTGTTATGTCTTTCTGCAGATTACTAGCAATTGCGTCATCAGATTTAAAAGGTTTAAACCTCTACTTTATATTACTGTTTTTTCCTCCAAGTGCCTGCGAGATTGAGAATTTAATTAAACTCTGGTAATTGGACTTTTTAATGGCATTAGCAGTATATTGTTGTTAAAGAAAATTTAGTGTGCTTGTATATACCTAGATTTGAGATTATACTTAGTCATTTACTGTTGTATTCTCCTAAAATTGTATTCAAGAGAACAAGATAGGTTACAAGAGATCTATACTGGCTGGCATGTGGTGCTGGATCAAATTTCTTAGTTGTCAATAATTTTAGCCTAAAGTGTACCTCGAGGTACGTACTCAACACCTGCATTGTAATTTCCAATTACTTCACTCTCTCATTAGATGCTCAACTCCTGGAGCAATTTTTTTTTCATGTTTGGTTTTAACTAATCCATATTCCTAGGGCCTAGCACATAGTAGGTGGCCAAATAATAGAAGTGATCCCTGAAGCGATCATCCTCACAAACTGACACGCTTACATTGGAAGCTCCATTTTATTCTGAAACAGAAAATGTTTGGTATCTCTATAAAATTTAATAAAAATAAATGATCTTTAAGCTTACTAGTTAATTTAACTGGTGTTTTTCTTACAGGCTTTTGTAAAAGACGTTCATGAAGATTCAATAACAGTTGCATTTGAAAACAAGTAAGTGTCTTGGTATAATTTTAAGGTTCAGGTTCCTTAATATTTTATACTAATTCTTTTTACTCCTCATTTTAAAAAAATTTGAGTCTAGTTTGAGTGTTTTTCAGGAATGGATCTTCATGTTACTCACCAGGAAGATCTTGAACAACTCAGTATTAAAACCGATGGAATGACTGTTCCTGCTATTAACCTCAATGATCCCTTTTGTTTAACCTTGATCCCTGCGTCTCAGTCCCCTTGAATATAAGGAAACAAACCAGATTCTTCTGTATTATTAACTTTGAGTTTGGATAGACATATTTGTGATTGTTACAAAATGAAAATGGATTCACGGGTATTGCCAAAATTGATGAGGGTTTTATAATGTTAAATCTAAAATTGATGGTTTAATTGTCTAGTATATTTTATAAGGAATAATCATGTTTACTCATGAACCTATACCTGTTTCATCATGTATTTATAGTCAATAATAGCCAATCTTTTCTGCTAGAAGAGTAAATAGAAACACTTAGAGGCCTAGGAACATTAGCTATACGAAGGCAACAGTGGTATAGATGTTGGCATTTTATCGGGAGAGACAAATATCTTGACAAAGTTGTTTTTTTTTTTTAATACTAATAAAGGGTATTTGCAGATTAGGCATTCAAGATTATAAAGTACATATAAACTCCGTAGCCAGAGTGTAGATTGTGATCATGATTTTAGGATTATGTTGAACTCTGAAGAATGGTCCACAATTTACAACATTTTGGCTTCTGTGTGCCAAGAGAATTGATAGTATCTCAGAAGCATTTTGCAGAACCATAGAGAAAATAAATAAAAGAGTGCTTGCTTAGGGCTGGAGGTGGTGAGGAGTCATAAGTAAAGGGCATGGGATTTCCTTTTGAGGTGATGAAAATATTTGAAAATTGACTGGCAGTGGTTGTACATATCTGTGAATATACTGAAAACCATTGAATTGTACATACACTTAAGTGGATGGATTATTTGATATGTGAGTTATATCAGTAAATCTGTTAAACTATAATATCTGACCCAGACATACTTTTTTGTCGTTAGCAGAATCTTTGAGCTACCAACAGGACAAAGAAGTAGTAGTATCAGATGCTTGTGACACATTTAGGGGGACAGAGATAAAAGGATTTAGAATATCCACCCTTTTCTCAGCTCTAGACTAACCTCAGTCCAGAATATAAGTTGGAAGAACACAGTAACTTTTTCTGAACGCATACAGCCAAAAGTTCCAGAGTTTGTCTCTGCTGCTTCAAGTATCCATGGATTTTAATGTTATACACTAGACAGCAACATCACACTTTTAACAGAAGAATCTTTGATAACATGAGAGTAACTTTTTTTGTAATTATACTTTTATCTGCTTGCTCCCATCACTGGATGAGCACTTGCCCATAAAGGAAGAGTTCCCTTTATTTGCTACTCTTTTAATTTCTCCTGTAGTCTTTAAGTGTTAAGCAAACACTCCTTTCCTCTATGCATTTAAGAATGTGTCTAGTTAATACACTTATCAGATCAGTTCTCTTTTGTTATTAATCAGTTTTCTACTCAAATTATTCTGCATTTGGACTTCCTAATTTTCTTCTATACTATAGCTGTATAAAAGTTTTTCTTCAAGCTGTCATTCTGGGAATTTGAAATAGATCAACTGTATTCTTTGTGTTCATGGAATATGTTTGACATTCAATGCCGGGTTTGAGTACATCACTAGGATTTGATAGGTCCCTACCAAAGTAGTCTCTGCCTATCCTTGGGTGTTTCCTTTTTTTCTGTTAAAAAAAAAAAAAAAAACTAATCTATTTTAGAACTTGAGACTATATTTACCCTTTCCTTCTTAAAGAAATCATAAAGAAACCCCTATTGCCATACCAATCAAATTCTTTTAGATGTTATGTTTCTACCTTCCATATTTCACATTTTTGAATAAAGAATGTGAATTTTTATCTGTGTCCATTCAGGATTTAAAATAATTCTTCCTTCTTTGAAATCAAGAAAGTTATATTCTGTACTATTACATGTTTTTCTGAACATTTAGCAATGAATTTGTAACATGTTAAAAGTCATTAATTTTCAATATATACAAAAAGGCTTCTCTGAAGTAAAGACCATGTTCTCTAAAGTTTCATAGTTTTCAGAAGTGTATTAATTCAAAGAAGGGATTCAGTCTAATATAGACCTAATCAAATTTCCACAAATTCTGACTTAATTACCTACCCTCCTATCTTCTATATGGCTCTTTAAAAAAAAAAAAATAGCACTTTTATCAGTAGGATTTTACTAAGAAAGCTTTTTAACAGCAACAACAACCAACAAAACCCCGGAAATGACTGATGCAGCAGTTGAATCCTCCAGTGTTTCTGCAAAGTTTGTCTTCTAATATTTTATATCATTTTGGATATAAAAGAATAACCTGGTGTTTTTCAAAATTGTTCCATATCATCTGAAATTTAAAAACCTAGGCAACTTACCAAACTCCTGTAGGCGGTCTTCATCGGGTCTCTGTGGTTTAGCAGACCTTACCAGGCCACGCCGATCGGCGGCCAGCTTTCCAGGGCACGAGTTGACCACCTCGCGGGATCTAAAATTTAAAGGGGGAAAAGTGAGTTGTGAATTGCTGATATGCTGACTGCCCCATTTTGCTTGGGACTTAGAGGGCATTTAGGACCAGTTTCTGTGGTCCTTAGAACATGGTTAAAATTCCTTTGCAAGTAGAAGTACGGTGATGATATTACTAACACTGACCGATACTAACATTTAATTGAAGCATCGAAAGTAATTGCTGTTGTGGCCTTGCATTTAGCACTCTTAGAGGTTGAAAGTACCAGAAGAAAGACTTGTTTGGAAAACTGTAATGTTGACCTACTGTGTTTAGAGGAATAGTCCAAGTAGAACTACAGGGCTGCTGTGCTGCATGCAGACTTTGTTGAAATGTCTCTACGTTGCCATTAGGCCCCACTCAGCAAAATACTGACTATTTTAAAAGCATTTGCTTCTTTAAACCGGAAAGACAGAGGGTCACACTTAGCCAAGAGTTGATGGCAGTGTGGATTGTTTCCATTAAACCAGAAAGCTTGTAAAATAATTCTGTGTTTGCTTATTTGCAGCTGGCAGCCAGAGAGGCAGATTCCATTCCATGATGTGAGATTCCCACCACCTGTAGGTTATAATAAAGATATAAATGAAAGTGATGAAGTTGAGGTAAGTTTCCCCTGCCCTTGAGTTATTAAGTACGGGAGGAGTGGGGGCATTTAATTTGCCGGTGCCTTTTGTACCCCTTGTCTTTGACACTGTTTAAACTACCTTGAAAATTACAGCTCTGATGGACCTGTGCTTTTGACTGAGCCATCTCAACAATGAGTTGAAATAATACGTGATGCTTGCTTATGGCTGCTTCATTAGCACTCGGGGCGCATCTTTGAAAGTCGTCACTAATTTCCTTTGCCAGCTAGGACTTTTTTGGCCCCCTTTTCAATCTCTGAATCTTTATTGGAATAATATATTGTTAGCTGACAACTTTATCTCCATTTTAAGCAAAATGGATTGAGAAAATTAGTATTACAAAGGAAAGGAATCATGCCTTTTAATAGAGCAGCCTTCTAGAATTTCTTTAGGTAGCAGCGAATCCTCCTGGTGTATTATTAAAAGCCCATCTCTGACTTTTAGTATAAACACATATAGGGAAAACATCTTTTCACAGGGCATGCTGTGAACCACCTGCTCACGTGCCATTCATGTCTTTGACTAAAATGTGCTATGGAGATGTACCACGTTGCAAAAACATGTTTATAATTTCTTTCGCCAGTGAAAATTGTTTTGGGACTTAACAGCACTTGGAGTCTGCTTTATGTTATAGTTAGTCTACGTCGTTTCCTTCCTCCGCTTTCACACCATTTTAAGCTGCTTCTCTTCGTCCTCTACAATGCCTTGTTAATACTTGCAACTTTGCGAATATTTGTGGTATGAAGGAAGTGGCTAAATAGACATTTATATACAGGTAAGGTAAAGTAAATAGACATTTATATACTAGGTCCTTGAATTCTTATGTCCGGTGCTAGGTACAGGTGGTACACTACAACAGAAGTCTCCTGCCTTTGAGGTTGCATTCTAGTCAGAGTAGCTAATAATTATGGCAGATTAAGTTATAGAGAAAACATTAAGAGGATGGAAGGTGATACGGTAGCAGTTTTATTTTCGAGACTATTCAGGGAAGGTCTCTGGGTGTTCAGGCCTGTGTTCTTTTCTCCTTCTAAAGTGGAAAATAGAATAAAGTACTATTTATTTGCCAAAAATGTACTCAGTACATATTAAGTAGAAGGAGCTGAGCTTGGTTTTGTGAGATTTCCTTATAGGAAACACTAACATTGTGTGTACCTGAGCACCTTTAGTTGTCCACTTCCCCAGGAGACCACAAGCTTCCTGAAGGCAAGGACATTTGGTCTGTTTGTGTCAGGAGTGCTCCAATAATGTTTGGATGGATGAAGGAGACTTTTTTTCCAACTGAGTCACATGACAGGTGGTGACCAATGACATACTGTTGCCTTACTGTATTGCCCAACTGTGATACATACCTGAGGTTATTGCTCTAGCTAGAACAGAGTTGCAAGAGATTGATGGCCGCAAGAGGGAAAGGTAGGTTGAATTCAGTTGTCTAAGTCACTATATTGTATAACCATTAACTCAGGTTGTGAAAGGGACATAAGACAGCCAGATCTTTTTGTCTCTGTGTATAAGGAATGCTCATAATAGTGATGGATTATGGGAACTCCCCCCCCCCCGCCCCCAGCTTAGTTACATGGCTGGTGGGGACCAATAGGGTGCTGTTCTCAGGATGACCTTGCTGCATTACATAACAATTAACTGAGGTTGTTCCTCTGGCTTGAGCAGAATTGTGAAGAAAGTGATGGGGGCAAAAGAGAAAGGTAGGTTGAGTTAAGTTGTCACTGCATTTTGTCACTGTTAACTTCAGTCATGAAAGGGAGACGAGTTGGAGCCTTGAGTTACTTATGAGCCTTAGGCTCTGTACCTCTCCTCATCTGTTCTCTCCCCCTTGTCTTCCCTGTTTCTTTCTGCTTCTGAGTATTTCTGTGTCTCTCTCTTTTCATGTATACTGTGCTCTTTTCCTCTTAATGTTGATTTGCTAGTGTCTTCACAAGAGCTTGCATGCCGCACATCGCAAGTGAACTTTGATGTCACCAAAGAGATGGGTTAGAAGAGCTGATCTAGTATGTGAGAGCAGGAAGATGGTATCCAGAGGATTGCCAGCATGGAGTTGTCCATTTTAGTGGAGAGAGAGAGGGAGAGGGCAGGAGACCAGAGAGTGACCAAGGTTCTGTTTGCTTAGGCCCCAGGAGACATGAATGCCAGGGTAGTATCCATAGTGGGCTGAGTGGTCAGAGGCCTCACTCATTTAGTGACCATGCAGCCAGTAAGTAGGCCAGGGTCAGTAACTTCCAATCAGTTATTTACTTATCAGAGTACAATAAAAACAAGTTTGTACATTTTTAGATACATTTTTGTAGCTCACAAAGGATCCCAGGAAAGCATGCCCAGATTTATGAACAGTCAGCTTTTCTTGAGCATTCATATGGAGAGAACTGATTATTATTGACATAGAACAAAGAAAATAGAAAGGCACTTTGTACAGGGCTCTCCCAGGTAATCAAGTAGTTTTCTGATTATGTATCAATGTCTAGATGTGGGGTTGCAATCTGCTTTGAGGCATATGGGTTTGAAAGACACCTGTCTCATTTTAATAATTTTCTTCGATGTCTGATAATCTGTAGATTTCTGAATGATGTTAATTATGAAATAATCTATGTTGTAATTTTTGTATAGGTTTATTCCAGAGCAAATGAAAAAGAGCCTTGCTGTTGGTGGTTAGCTAAAGTGAGGATGATAAAGGGTGAGGTAGGAAAATGCATATTTAAAATTTTTTATACTATTTTCCTTTTCTAAACTCAGGTATTCTGTTTCAGTGTGGATTCCTATTTTAAAATAACATGTAACTCGAGTCATTTTATTAAAATGTTTTCTCCAAATATTCAGTATGTTTCATGTGTTTTAGTTGATCAAATATAGTTTTTTTCTCTCTAGAGAGCTTAAAAATAACTGAATTAGGTATAGCTTATTCTTATTTTAAACATTATGACCAGGAATGACTTTTATCTACTTCTCTCAGTTTTATGTAATAGAATATGCAGCATGTGATGCTACATACAACGAAATTGTCACAATTGAACGTCTACGATCGGTTAATCCCAACAAACCTGCCACAAAAGATACTTTCCATAAAATCAAACTGGACGTGCCAGAAGACTTACGACAAATGTAAGTTGGTGTGCGAGAAATGCTGAGGACTTACAGGTTATATGCAATTAATTTAAAAGAATATAAATTTTAAAATAATAGAAACCAAGTTTTAATTTCAGTGAACATTAGAAAAATGGCTTGCAAAAGTAGTGAAAAAACAGTCTTTAGCTTTTCCAGTTGTATAATCAAGGCAGCACTGCACTTGTTTAAACTGACTCGGCTAGATGCATTTGTTTCCTAAAATAATCTTTGCTCATAGAATTTTGAGATTTTGAAAATCAATTCGTACAGATCTTCTCTCATAAGTCACAAATCAAGTTCTAGACCAAGACGATTTCTCCAAGCTTTTTCCTTTTAGTTACTATTTTCAGATAAACATGTAATAAGTAGAGCTAAAGAAGCTTCCAGAAGTCATCTCCATCTTCTAATCCTTGGTCTGGGGTGACACTTAAACACTTTTAAGATAAGAGATTCCTTGTTAAAGGTTTGATCAAGGGGGATATAATGAGTTGAATTTGGGTGTGTCACACTTTAGGTAAATGTTAATTTGCAATTTGAAATACATAGAAATCCTCCTTTTTGATTGTAGAGATTGCATGTATATGTAAATTTTTGTGCCTTCTGATTCCTATACGTTTCCTTCTCTCCCGTAAATTGATTGGCAGTTTTTCTATAGAAAAGAAGCAACAGAACAAAATTGGGTAACCTGCAGCTATCCTCAAAAGTTTTCAACAGTTAACTGAAGAAAATTACTGACTAATCCTATGTAACTGAAATAAGGAAACGTGGCAGAGGAGAGTAACTCCCCCTAAATAATGTCACTTTTGGTAATCTAAGATCACAAGTAATGTCTTCAGAACATAACTGGTTTTTTCCTTTCTCTGTAATCACAAATGCTTGATTGGGCTGAGTATTACAGAGATACAGCAAAGGAACCTTTGTGTTTAGTATCAGTTACTGGAGTGGGCTAAGTATTTCAGAGATGTACAGCAAAGGACTACACTTTTAAATGGATACAGCATATTTTGCATGCATTATATTTACTATGAATTCACAGTTGTACTAAGTGCAAATCTCTGCGTATATTTATGCCAATAGCTGGTAATCCTGCATCTTAACTTCACAGTGGATATTTTTATTTCTAGGTGTGCCAAAGAATCGGCACATAAGGACTTTAAAAAGGCAGTTGGTGCCTTTTCTGTAACTTACGACCCAGAGAATTATCAGCTTGTCATTTTGGTGAGTGTTTCTGACTTGGCCATTTTAGTCTATTCCATTTGGAGTATTTGCTTTGATAATGATGGTACTGATTTATATCCCTCAGTCTATCAATGAAGTCACCTCAAAACGAGCACACATGCTAATTGACATGCACTTTCGGAGTCTTCGCACTAAGCTGTCTCTGATACTGAGAAACGAAGAAGCCAGTAAACAGCTAGAGGTATGTGGCTTTCCCCAGCGCTGCTTGTAAGGCTCTCTGGAAATGATAAGTGTAGAGTGGTAAAACTTGAGTATGGGCAGGTTGTCCTTTATTTACTATTTCTTAGCAATTCCCTATATTTTATATTTTGTAAAATTAAATTCTACAAAGCCTAATCATACTAAAGTCTTTCATGCCTGAAGTTTCAGAATTAAGCAGCAGTTGGTGTATATTAAGGAACTTCCGGTCAACTCACTTTGTCTAGAAGTTCATCAAAGCTGCTAATAAAATGAGGCAATGCTTCTTCCATATAACATGTTATCATATAAGTACTAGAGAGTATTTAAATATCTAATCATATTCCTTTCATTATGTATGTTTATCTCTGTTTAAAAGGGTATAGAACTTCTTCATTCTAATTGGTTGTCACTCTTTAAAACTCCTGTCTTCAGATTCCTGCCAGAGGCTATTTCCCTAACTTACTATTTCGTCTCTTAAGGTGCATTTTATCTACTTTTATTAATCCTCCAGTAATTTCCATCATCATACATTTATTTTCATTGATAACTATCTAGTACTTCCATTCATTACCATAGAAACTAAATGGATTTTAATGTCCCAACTCGAGGTATTACCGTCAAATTCCAGAGTTCCTCATCATTATTCATTTCATTAGAGGGAAAACACCATGCAGTTAAAATAATAGAGAAAAAAAGAGTTCCAAATTGCATTTTAAGAGAGAAGGTAGTCAAGGCTACATTCTTGTGAAACCCTGTGAAACTTGCCACCTTCCCACTTGATGTGTGATTGCTGAACTCTTAGCAGGAGAGGAGACATTCCTATCTCCTTATACTGCTTTGTTTTCCTTATGGCCATGGAGGTCTGTTTAATTGGTTTTTTATTCTCATTCTTTATTAATGTCCCTGTGTTCACACATTTGAGGTTTCTTTAGCAATTCTCTCATAACTTTTAGGCAAAAACAGCCTCCTTACTTTCATTGTGAGTATTATGGAAAACATACTCCTGCCTCTTCTTAAACATCTAATTCTTCTTAAATGATCTGTTATAATACCTTCAGCTTACCATTTATCAGAGAATTATCAGTGAAAAGAATGATCCAGGTGAATGAACCAGGACTCAAAACCAAGACTTCTTGTATTTAATACATTTTGTTACTCTAATCTTCAAAATGGATATTATACTTTTTAAATTGTTTACAGTAGTTACACTCATACATTCAAATTAGCAGGTATGTTGAATACTGAGAAATTCGTGTGCATGCCTCTTTCCTCACTACTAATATTAAAGAGATCCACATATTCAGATAAGAAATTTCCATTTTTCAACATGAGCCACTAATATGTTTGGTTTTCATTAATGGCATGCTAGAACTAAACATTAAATTTTGATAATGCTGTTTAAAGAGAGCAATTATCCACAAGTTTGGGGTGTCAGTGTAACTGAGTTTAGTCATGACTGAAGATTTGAAAGAAGTCATCATACTTGTGGATCCAGATCACAAGGTCTTACAGACTCTGATCTCTTTTTAGGTTGCACATGCATATTGCAAGAAGTCAATCTTTGACATTCTATAATCATTTGATACGATATTTATGATTCCGTTTCTCAGGTTGGGGAGGTGGGGGTAGGAGAAGTATTGTTTTAATGTCATCGCTTCATCAGAGGGATATCTAGACCACAGTATTTAATGATAAGTTACATAAATGGTGCAGTTTCCAGGAAAAGAAAAATGAAAAAAAAATACGTATATGTACTGATATTCTTTAATAAAAATGAAGTGATTACAATTTTCTGTGAAGATGATATTAAAACATTTTTTAACGTAAATAACATTGAGTCTGTCAGATCCAGTGAGCTGGTTTATATTTGGGAACATTTAATCTGCTTCTTAATTATGACATGGTTGATGTCACTGGTTAACTAAGGCAGCCTTGCAAATAGGTTTTCAAAAGTTACCTTGGAAACTTGTCAACAAGCCTTCTCCTATTAATAAAAAAATCTATCAGATGGCATTGACCTTCAGTAATCTAAAAAATACTTATGCTGTGGAGGGGGTTTTCTAAACCCTGAAAGTTTACAACTGAAAGTAATTTATAGGCCCCTCATGTAAAGGTCGAGATAATTTACATGACTGACCTAAATACAGTTGTCTTAATAGTTGATAAAGCATATTAATCAAATGTGCATTTCTCTTCAGAGTTCAAGGCAACTTGCCTCAAGGTTTCACGAACAATTTATTGTACGAGAAGATTTGATGGGTCTGGCTATTGGTACTCATGGTGCTAATATTCAGCAAGCTAGAAAGGTACCCGGGGTCACTGCTATCGATTTAGATGAAGATACCTGCACATTTCACATTTATGGAGAGGTAAAATTTTACTAAGTAGTTTTTTTCTAAAATAAACACTATTTCATGTGGCTCATCTTTGGTCTTAAATCCTTTCCCCTTTGTTGTTAGGATCAGGATGCAGTGAAAAAGGCTAGAAGCTTTCTGGAATTTGCTGAAGATGTCATACAGGTTCCAAGGAACTTAGTTGGTGAGTCAGAAGTTACCGTTGACATGCACTACAAAAACAACAGTTAGGGAAACAATTTAGTTATACCGATAGAATTCCATGCTCACTCACTTGGAGAATCCTTTAATCGAAACTTTATTTTTGAAATATGATCTGTTAATGTTTTATTTATTTTTGAGAGAGAGAGAGAGACTGCATGAGCAGGGGAGGGTCAGAGAGAGGGAGACACAGAATCTGAAACAGGCTCCAGGCTCTGAGCTAGCTGTCAGCACAGAACCCGATGGCAGGGATCGAACCCACGAACCATGAGATCATGACCTGAGCTGAACTCAGACATTTAACCCACTGAGCTACCCAAGTGCCCTATATTTTCTGTATCTTAAAATTAAATATATTTCTTTAAAAGGAATGACATTTGAGGGCTTTATAATTTGGAGGAGATTGGTATTTGATCTCTGATGGGGCTATAAAATGATGGCATTCTTAATTATCGTGGAGTTGAAGATCTGAATGTAGGTTACTTAATCTAGTAAGTTGCAAGCTTATTAGAAAGCTACAAGTAACTCCGAATGCCTCTGGGGCTTTTTGTAACATTAACAGTAATTCTTCATTTTGACATTGAGTACTATTGTTTTATTATTATCTCCATCACAAGTACCAGCAAATACCAGAAGCTCTTCACCAGTGCTCTCAAATGCTGCAAATATCTTTAGCAGGACACTTCAAAATAAGATGCAGTTTTTATCAAGAGCAGTACCTAGGTTTTTACTTGTACATAAAATTGAGACATACTGTCTCTACACTTTATTTTTCTGAACTTGATTCACAACGATGATAAAAAGTAACGCCAACTCTTTGGAAAGTTTAACAAAGAAGAAAATAAGGATTTCTATGCACGTTGTTCCCATAGTTTCAGTCCTACTTAGCATGGTTTTATTTTTTGTCAGCATAGAATTCTAAACGTCTTTCTATGCCACTAAAAACACTTGGAATGATATTTTTCTCCTGAAGAAAATTAGTTAAAGAATAAAGACTGATGAAATGAATGCAGAATTATTAATTCAGCTGTGTTGTACAGACAGCTAAAGACTGTGATATTATGGAGGTAACTTGGACACCAGTTTTATGGATAGTACGATCCTGACTTCCTAAGAATAAGTAGGGTTTTGAATGATAGTTATTTTCCTTTTCTTTAGAGTTTGCCAAGCAATTGCCTACATTTTCTGATTAGAAAAGTTCTCTTAAATTTAGAAATTCTTATAAAATATAGCCAATAGCTTTTTCACTAATTACCAAAAAGAAACTTCTGTATCAGATTCGTTGAAGTTCATTTGGTGAATGGCATGATGCCTGTAAGGGGGGAAGTTCTTGGGTGTTGGAGTTGGATTTAGATTTCAGTCCCCTCCTTCACTTTTTGGTACCTGTTTAGCCTTGTAACTGATTCAGCCCCCTTGAATATTATTTTCCTTACCTCTAAAGAATGTGATAATAGTGTCTACCTCACAGGGTTGCTGTGATAACTAAATTCAAAGCTGTAGGTAGAAAGGTAGAGATAGATATACGTTATGTAATAAGGTCTGGACATAGTAGGGAACTCTGTAAATGTTACCTCTTGTTTCCTCTCCTCATTCAGAACAATTCCATCCAGTTCAGTAGATAGAGCAGAATCGTAGCAAACTGTCAGTTGGGATTTGGAAGTAACTTTGTGGTGTAGAGTTGCATTATCTGCTATTAAAAGTAGTTTCTATCTATACTCATACCTAAAGAGAACTGACCTTTCACCAGAAAGCCTGCTAAAGTCCCATTAGCCTGGGTTTTGTTTTGTTTCTAGTGAGTAAAACAAGACCATTCTGTTTTAGAGATTGTCTACTACAACACTGGGAATGTTGAGAGTTGTCAGAAAGCATTTTTGTATAATAAAAGATTTGGCAAGGCAGATCTTTGGGAAGATGTCTAATTAGTATTGAATGATTCTTCTTGGAGTCACACTGTATATGATTTATGATCTCTAATTTTCATAGACTGTGTTTAGTATGTACACAGATTTGCCATTCTTTTCTAAAGATGTGCTTGCTTTTCACCCCACTTTGACAATGAATTGGTTTAATTATTCAGTTAGCTCTAGTTAACACACAGTCCTTAGGATGGTTAAGAATAATAGCAATGTGTGACACACTCCTTTTTTTCATCATTTAGACATTTATTAAAATCAGCATTAATTCATGAAAATCCAAGTGTTCTAGATTAAAAACGAGCTGTGGGATGACTCCATACAACTTCTCTCTTCCCCCACCTCTTTCTTTTGAAGAAAAGAGAAGCAGAAATAGTTGACAAAAGAACCTACCTATGTCAGGAGTCCTGATTTAGTGTTAGTTTTGTTCCCTGACCACTGACCAGTCAAAAGAGGTTATAGGGGCAAGTGAGGCTGCGAGACATGGCTAGAGAGCCAAGGTTATGCTGATTAGAAGAACCACAAGATCTGGTGGTGAGGCTTTTTTCCCTAGGTTCTTCTGTCTAGAAGTAACTCCAAGCAAATTTGGGCTTCTGATTTTTCTAAGGTGGTGGGGCAGGCACACGGCGGACCTGGCCAGTGTAAGGGTGCTGTAGGTGCCTTGGGAGGATTCTTAGAATCGCAGGGAATTCACATGTCGTTTTTTAAAACCAGTACTTCTTTTATTTGTAGTGTCTTGCTTTACACTAATGCATGCCAATGGCTGTGAAAGCAGTCACGTCCTGGTTAAGGCTATGGTTGATTCAGTTTTATAAAATGAGGGGAAGAGTGCCTGTTAATTACTGGTATTTGACATCTTTGGAGTTGTAACAGATGTTATTAACCAGTACTTACTCTCGAACTGGCTTTAAGTTTTTTCATAGTGGTCTTGAGTTATCTTAAAGTGTGACTTCCCAATCTCTCATTCTGTGACTAATAAAAGATTAAGATATCATACCTCACCTTTTAATATACTGATAGAATTTATGAGCAATGCACAGAAGTAATATTACATTAACACATCGGTCTCAAGAATGCACTTCTTTTAGGTGTATGTATAGCTGCTTAAATCACTTTCAGACTTGTAGTATCTTTTATAAATGTGCCATATGAAATTCTAAAAATATTTACCATGGTCAGAGAAGTAGATTTAAATCAGGTACAGATAGAACTGAAATTGTCAAATGAATAAACAAATGTATTCTCTGTTACCCTTTCCCTTAATTCCTTTCACAGAACTTTACAGAAAGAGCGATACATACCACTGTAGCAGCAAGTCTCAAGTATACCCTTTTATGCAAAATAAGACCCTATCTTTGAACTTAAAAAATTCAAAATTACCTCATCAGTTCATGAGATGAAAACTCCTTTGATACTTGACCAAAATAGTTTAAACAATGACAAGCTAATGAAACAGAAACCAGTTTAACACTTTTTGAAAAGACTTTGTTTTGTTTCAGTTTTGAAATCTTAACACTTTTTTAAGTGTATTTACTTTGGGGGGGAGAGAGAGAGAGGGAGAAAGAGCTGACATGGGGCTCGGACCCACGAGCCGGGAGATCCTGACCTGAGCTGAAATCAAGAGTCGGATACTCAACTGACTGAGCCACCCAGGCGCCCTGAAATCTTAGTTTTATATATAATGTGATAATTTACAGTGGAGTGTGCTTGCTCATTTGAGATCGATGTTTGTAAAACTAAACATGAATTATTCATTTCTTCACTTTAGGCAAAGTAATAGGAAAAAATGGAAAACTGATTCAGGAAATTGTGGATAAGTCAGGAGTGGTGAGGGTGAGAATTGAGGCTGAAAATGAGAAAAGCGTTCCCCAAGAAGAGGTATGTTGTAGTGCATGTGTTTCTAGTTTGTCTGATAAAAGCTTTTTTTTTTTTTTAAGTATATTTATTTTGAGACCAAGAGAGACAGAGTGTATGAGCAGGGGAGGGGCAGAGAGAGCGTGAGTGAGAGAATCCCAAGCAGACTCCTCACTGTCAGCACAGAGCTTCTTCACTTGGGACTCAGTCTCACAAACCTCAAGACCATAACCTGAGCCGAAATCAAGAGTTGGACGCTTAACCAACTGAGCCACCCAGGCGCCCTGTCTGATAAAAGTTTACTATTTTATTCAACATGTTAATTTAGAGGTTTCTGTGCATCCTGGGAATGTAATAATTCTGACAACCATGCCAGTCATTGTCGTAGTTGGAGAGTGACTTGGGACTAGTTACTTGAATCCCTTTAAATCTGCTTAATCTTTAACATGGATGGTCATAAATTAAAAAAAAAAAAAGTATAAGCTGATTCTCAAATATTACTTACTGTTGCTGACAGAGACCAAGTTGGGACACTGGTTAGGTTCTTTGGCTTTTTGAGTTTGTATGTGTGTTTAGTTTGTGCTTTAAATTTTTATCTGAGCATAGCGTCTCTTCCCAGTCTTTAAATGTTATAGTCCTCACTTTTATCTTCATGAATATATGCTTTTTGGTAAAAGTACTTGTGTGGGTTGGGGGAGGCAAAGTTGCTCTTCTGTGCAATGATACTGTTTAAATCCCCCCACATTGCCATAATTTTCACATATTGTTGAATCTTCCTTGGTAAAAGGTTCTTTTAGCTGATGCTAAATCTTTTGGGGGTTTTACTGCATAAAACTTGCATTCTATTATTTTGTCTGCCAAAAATGTTTATAATAATTTTATGTTTATAAAATATTATTGATACAAAAGTGGAGTTAAATAAAGGCCTTTAAATTGGTCCTTTTTTCTCTTTTGTGTGTTTTTTTTTTTTTTTAACCAAGGAAATTATGCCACCAAATTCCCTACCTTCCAGTAACTCAAGGGTTGGACCTACTCCCTCAGAAGACAAAAAACATATAGATATAAAGGAAAACAGCACTCATTTTTCTCAACCTAACAGTACAAAAGTCCAGAGGGTAAGAAATATTTATCACTTTGAATTACACTCAAAGTAATTTCTTTGACCCAGATATCACAATTGGTGTTTTGGGTGTTTTCTCTGGTTAGACTTAAAGGCTACTCCTGTATTTTTTTTTTTTTTTTCCAAATCCAATTGCCAGCTTATGAGAGATTACAAACCAAAGTGTTACCTACCTCTCAGTTTACTCACAGTGACAAATGTGATGAGTAAACATAAAATACGGGGTTACATTTAGTGATCACATTTTTCTTTTGAGGGTGGTCTTTCATTTTTTCATGCTGTATCTCTTGAGATTTTGCAGGTTGTGGTAGCTCAAAATGTACCTTCTGTTAGATGCACTAGTTACTACTTAGAACCATATTTTAGAAACTGGTTTTCAATATTTGAACTAACCTAACTGTTTAGAAATGGGTTTAGAAGTCCTACAGTGAAAGTCCTGCGTTCAGGCTTCTGTGTATCATTTGTTATAGTTAATGACATCACTTGCATTCCTTATACTGCTTTAGGTGTTAGTGGTTTCATCAATTGTAGCAGGGGAATCCCAGAAACCTGAACTCAAGGCTTGGCAGGTAGGAAAACATTCCTTGAAAAATACATTTTAATTTTATATTTTACTGTTTATTCCCCTTGTTAAGAGAGACTACAAATGATCATCAGGGTTGGGGGATGGTGGAGGAGTGTTTTGGGGTATGTTCATCCATTGCCCTGCGGAGAGAGCTCAAATTCCTTCCTGTTGCTTATAAAGCCTTTCTTTGACGCTCACCTGTCCAGTGTCACCTCTTTTCATTCCTCCCCTTTGCCCTCCAGAGCGACTTGGGCCACACTGAAGTACTCCAAGTTCTCACTCTTCTCTCTCTGTGTACATTCGTTTCCTCTACCAGAGCGCTCTTTCCCCTCCAGTTCGACACCTTGCTTTGACCTTATTCCTTGTGTAGCTTTCCTTTGTATGCTTGCCACAGGTCCCCTCCCTCTGACTGGCTCCAGAGCCTTTCCCCCTTCTGTGCTCCAGTGTGCCCATCCCTCTCGCAGCATATACTACATAGACATTATCTTGTTAATCTCTGATGAGTTCCTTGAGGACAGGGCCCCCTACCTGGCCCGAGAGAACTGTTTATGGGGAAAAACCATTATGACTCACCAGAGATTAAAAGCAGAAATGCCATTTGTTTGATAAAGGGAAATATAACCACAAGTGGATCAGATATTCCTCTCTGCTGGGCAGCACAGTTCTTTTTTTTTTAATGTTTTATTAGTTTTTTTATTTTTTTTGTTTTTGTTTTTGTTTTTGTTTTTTCTAATAGCGTTTTTTTTTTTTTTTTTTTTTTTTTTACAAATAGTTTATTGTCACGTTGGTTTCTATATCACACCCAGTGCTCATCCCCACAAGTGCCCTCCATGCACATCTCCCTCCTCCCCCCCGACACCCATCAGTCCTCAGTTTGTTCTCAGCATTCAAGAGTCTTTCATGGTTTGACTCTCTCCCTCTCCCCCACTATTTCCCCCCTTCTTCTCCCCCTTGGTCCTCCATTAAGTTCTTCCTAATCCTCCTATATATTTGTCCTTCTCTGCCTGACTTATTTCGCTCGGCATAACACCCTCAAGGTCCATCCATGTTGCTACACATGGCCAGATTTCGTTTTTTCTCATTGCCTTGTAGTATTCCATTGTATAGATAAACCACATCTTCTTGATCCATTCGTCTGTTGATGGACACGTAGGCTCTTTCCATGTTTTGGCTGTTGTTAAGAGTGGGCAGCACAGTTCTTATCCCAGTCAGGGAATCCCTTTCTCCTGGTGTCTGTATTGAAGGCCATCATTGTGCTCTTGCCCATCATGATTTTAATTTCCTATTCTGGTCTACTAGTGATGTGCTCAAATTACAATAGCACTTGGGTACAACCACAGTTTGGACATAGGGAAATAGAAAACCTTGTAGAATTATTTGGTGCCAAGTTGATCAGACTAAATCTGTGGCATAGGGTTTTAAAGTTTATTTTGGTCATACATGACCCAGAGGAAAGAGTATAGCATTTCACTATATGGCATTTTGGAAAATAATAAGATTTAACTACTTTGTAATGATGTCAGTTGGGGAAAATACAGTCAAAAGTGTTTTTGAGGAAAGTAGATCTAATTCATAGGCCTAATTATTTCCATAGTCTATATGTTAATCAATGCAAACAAAAATCCATATGAAGGCCTTGGGTCTTCAGCGGCACCCGACTCTTCGGGTGGCCATTGCTACCAGGAAACAGTGCCTTGCTGACCGAATGAAGGTCATTCTACACGCAGTATTTCCTAATTGTTGCTCAGTTTTGTTCTCCATCAACAGCCAGGTTCATGTGGAAGGGAAAGGAAAAAAAACCTGTTCCAGCCTCACATACATTTAAGATGCTGTCTACTGAGCGCAGGCAAGCAAAAGCAGTCACACCTATCAAATGAATGCTCTTTTTCAAAGAGTGATACTTGCTAAAGAGACAGCTTCTTGGTTTTTCATACTTAGAAACTTTGCCTAGAAAATTATGTCCTCATAAAAGCCACTGTATGCTTTACTATAGTCCTGTGTGAATATCAGTAAGCATATGTATTTCTTCAGTAGTAAAATAAATGAAGTATTATCAAACTTTGAATGTCATAATTGCCAGCTATTAGTTTGCACGACACCTATAACTGGTGACTAGAAATAATATTTTTTCTCATTTGTACTGATGGGCTATTAGTATAAATTTTTAATATACTCCTTTTTAAAAATCTGTCTTTATGTTAAAGTAGTACCATTGAGAAAAGATCAAGCCTTCCATATGATTCAGCCTTTTATAGTTTTTAGAGTACATTTTTGGAATGGATTGAAAAGCTAAATTGTGTGTTCTTCGATCTGCCTCTGCCCCTCCCCCACCCTGCACAGAATAATTAGTGCCTTTTAATTTATTCTAATTCTTTTTGTTTGTGTTTTGTTTGTACTCTCTTGACTTGGTTAGCAAAATTGATTTAGTTTTTACTTCTGTGCCCTAGTATTTAACTTTGAATTTCTCTTTAGAGAATTTGATCTAGATAAAACCTGTCGTATATGAATTAGAGTATTTTATTTTAAAGTATTCATTTTGTGTATGCATCTCATGTCAGAGCTTGTTATAATTTGGAATTACATATTTTGTGATTTTGCCAACATTTAAGAGTAGTCTTTAAAACACAGTAATCTGGTGCACTTGAGGTTGCCGTATTGACTTTCCGTTACTCACAGTAGATAAGTAAAATATACCAACTACTTTTGTTTGTAGATGTTTTATATTTTCAACAGACATTTGCATACCTACTGTTTATCAGGCCCTGTGCTAGGGATTTAGTCATTATTTCCTTTTTTTTTTTTTCAGATTAATCCATTATTAATTTTATAGGATCATTGTTGCCATTTATTTTTCAGGGTATGGTACCATTTGTTTTTGTGGGAACAAAGGACAGCATTGCTAATGCCACTGTTCTTCTGGATTATCACCTGAACTATTTAAAGGTGAGAACAAGAAGAACTTTAACTTCTAATCCTTTTGTGCTAACATATAAAAACTCCACAGTCAGTTTTTCATCAGTGAAGGTTCATTCTAGCCTGTATATTACAATGAATGACCCGTAAAAGATAATAGAGAAAATACTCACTTTGTTTTGCTTATTATATTCCTTCTGCAAAAAGAAGTCAGTTTTCTGTCATCATAAATCTAAGGACCGGTATCCCAGTTGTCAGTAAATTCCCCTATTTCTCATTATTCTTCTGTTAAGCCCTTACTCAATTTAGGTACTCCTGTACATAGCCTTTTCATTCAGTTGATCCTTTCTAGCCTTTGTGAGTTTTTTCCAGGCCAGATTTTGTGTCTGTAACACTTGGCTTTGTTTGTCCCTCTTATGTCATTTATCAAGGAAATCCCAGTGTTTTATGAAGTCCTACGTTTAAGCATTTACCCTTTGTATTTTTCTCTATGTTCCGTTATACGGAATATAAACAATTTGTGTCTTGTAGATGCTCGTTTTAGTGTTTGTACAGTTAGGCCTCCTAGATTGCCAACTAGAAATCAGGAAGTAGGAGGCCACAAGGATTAGTGGAAAGAGCACTTGAGTTGGCAGTGCAGTGATTTGCTCCTAGTCTGCCTTCTGCCATGAACTAGCTTATGTGACTTGAGGCAAGTCACTTCTTGGTATACTGGATGCTTCTTAAAATATCTTTTGGCCCAAATGTTCTATAGTTCAATGAAATGGAGTCTTACTCATGTCACTGTCCTAATTTCCTCTTTATATCCATATGCATCACAATTACAGTGACTGGTACTAAATAGTATTTTAAAAAATAATCCAATTTATTTTATTTATGATGCTGTCTTAATAAGAATATTTTTGCTGATTTCTTGAAAGAAAGAAAAAAAGTTTTGACTTGGATGCAAATAAGGAAGGAAAAAGTGCAATAGCTAGGCATTGCATTCCTTCTTCTGGTGGTCAGTTACTAATTGAAAATGGGAAGGTTTCATCCAGCAAGGTTTGCATGGGTAGGATACCCCATTGGTTTGCTTCTTTGTTTGTGTTTTACAGTGTGTTTTATTTGTAATCTGTTGTACGTGTTTTTCTTCAATTCTTAGCTTAAAGAATTCTAATTGACCTGGAGAGTTAGGGTTGCACTGTAACCAATCCCTTGTTCTTTTGACTAATGTTCCTTTTTAGATCTTTTTACTTATTCTTCACAATTGGATATCTTTTTTGGTTATCAGCAGCTGTCCTGTTGCCATTCTTTCCATCACCAGATCTTCCCTTGATTGGGCCTGGCATCTCTCACCAAAAGGTGACTGCTTTGCCCCAGTGGGATAACCTGGACTACCATTCTGTTTTGCGAGATACACCCACCCATTCCATGAGCTATAACTATACTCTTGGAGTAAGCCACTCACTCAGTGTCTCCTTTGCTCAGGTCCTTTGTAAAACAGAAATTCTGGTTCAGGGCACAGATCAAATGTATCTGCCCTTTGTTTTCCAGAAGCTTCCACAAGAAAGACTTTAAGAACTTAGCTTAACACAGGGGCTTATCCAGTGACTGTCCACATAGGCAGTCCCTGTGATGGCCTGTGCTTTACACAGACACCCCAAACCACTAGAAGTTACGGATCCAGTTCCCTAAAGCCAGTAAAGGAGATGTGTATGGGTAGATTGGAAGGACAAGGGTTAGAACTGGGGCTTCATCTGGATATATCAGAAGCACTGTGTGTAACGAATGGTCTGTCAGTGGACCCCAGGTGTATATTTTGATCAATATCAATACTGTTCATTGTACTTGTTCTAGCAGAGCTGTGGTCTTTAAGAGGTTTCAAGGCACGATGTTAAGACCTAGGTTGTTTGGTCAGGTCTTCAATAGTCGTTCCCTGCCCACCATGTAAGGAATGTGAGCATTTTCAGTTCATCAAAAATAATTTTTCCTTAATTGTGCAATTGCATCCAAAGACTTACCATAGTATATGTTCTTTGAAAGCAGAAGATAGCTCAAACTCAGTGCTTCATAAATTAAGATATTAATGGGCAAATATATTTCAATTAAGACTATTTACAGTGTATGATTTTTAAGGTTAGCTGGTTAAGCCTTAACTGTCTTTTGCCTTTATTTTAGAGTTGCTTTCTTGGATATCCGATCATCAAGAAGTCCCCAAACTAGCATATCTGTGCCTTAAGAGATTCTATTGGATAATAGCACCAAATCAAACTTAAATTCTATTCAGTAGAATTTTAATGCTGAATATTTTTGTTATATCTCTAATCATGGACATCAATAACCTGTTATCTATAGTAATTTTTCTTTGTAAGGAGGCCATTCAATTTCCTGATAATTCTGTGTAACAGTGTTTACTATAAATTTAGAGCTGAAATTGAATTATTTCCAGTATATTTTTTATCTGATGAAAAGGAGAAAGGTATTTTTAAGTAAAATGTCAAATTATTTTTACTGTTATCTTGTATATTTTAAATAGGAAGTAGACCAGTTGCGTTTGGAGAGATTACAAATTGATGAGCAGTTGCGACAGATTGGAGCTAGTTCTAGACCACCACCAAATCGTACAGATAAGGAAAAAGGCTATGTGACTGATGATGGTCAAGGAATGGGTCGAGGTAGTAGACCTTACAGAAATAGGGGGCACGGCAGACGCGGTCCTGGATATGCTTCAGGTACAAACTAAGCATTTTACTCAGTAACTTTATCTGTTCCTAGACTTAATAGCTGCTAATCTCTAATATTCATTAGCATCCCATTATAACGGTTTCTCACTACGTGGTTTCCAATTCACAGTGGGTCAAATTGTGTTGCAAGAGACTTAGACTTAAAGCTGATGATACCACATAGAGTTTACAGGGCAGGTGTGAGTTCTGTCCACATTCTGAGTGGGGATAAACCTGCTTAAGCCCTTGTGTGTTGACGACTCTCTTAAGGCCTTTCCTGATTTTATTACTGTATAGCCAAAATTTTTTTCATTTGTGTACTGTGGCTCATTTTTTGTCAGGCATGTGCTGGTCATACTTGCTGGATGGACTGTGTAAATCAGGGCTCTGCATCCTATGGCTCATAAGGTGATTTTGAGTGTCATGGCCAAAGTCAGCCCTAGGCACAGTCAAGAATCGGGCAAAGTTTCTCTTTGCCTTCCCAGCTCATCTGTCAGTGCTTCTTTCTTCTCTCCCAGTACCTTTCACTGAACACTGTCCCCACCTGCCAGTGCCTACTGTCTTTCTTGCTCAACTGTGTATCTACTATGTAACTTGCTAATGATGGTATAAGGTATAATCCATCTCACAAATATTTGCATTTCAAAAAGGAACTCTTTAAGATGGAAAAGCCTTCAAGATCCACAGGAAAGAAGCTATAATGGTGAAGCTATAATTGGTCATTAGCTCCAACAGGAAGAGAGAGGTAGTAGAGCTGATACTGTGGAGTGGGGGAGAGAGATACGTACTCCTAAGGCCAACCTTAAACCTAACCCCTAACCCCTCTCCCAACAGTCTGTTCTTTTTGCTGTTGGAGTTCCACCTCACCTTGGAGCTCTTTTCCCCCCACTCCCATCCCTTATATCATTAACACACCCCCTCACACATAATGAGTTTATCTTAATAATGGCTTCATTAATGATAAATTATTCTAGTGGGAGTGGGAGGGAAGGTTGTGGACCAGGCGAGCACATCCCCCTTGAGCTAAGTTCAATCCCTGATCCCACAAAAGACCCTTCCCTGAGACAGTTGCCATGGTGGCCTTTGCCACCCTCTCAGAGGTGAGCAAAATGTGTGCGTTTCCCTCTGTCCCTGAGCCAAACCTTGTTAAAAGGAACTCTTTTTATAGAAGTTTTGTTTATCAAGGTATTGCATTTAACTGTTGGAGACAACTTTTTCTCCAGAGAGCGCAGATGTTTAAAGGAGCACAGCTGTTTAATGATGTGGCATACTCAGGTTTGAACTTAGATGGTTAATAAAATACCTTTTATTTTTTTTTAACAAGAACCAAAAATGTTTAAAACCAAAATTACCTCAAATATTGTGAAACCCTTCATTTTGAATTTAAGATCATTTGTTTTACTAAATGGAAGGTGATAATACTCTTTGGGCTTATAAATTGGGAAGAGTATTGAGTTACCCCTGAAACGTCTCTGGAAGCTTCTGTTAACCTAACTTTTTTTTTTAAAGTCGGACAACGGTATATAACTTTTAACTCTCGATAGGAACTAATTCTGAAGCATCAAATGCTTCTGAAACAGAATCTGACCACAGAGACGAACTCAGTGATTGGTCATTAGCTCCAACAGAGGAAGAGAGGGAGAACTTTCTGCGCAGAGGAGACGGTCGACGGCGTGGCGGTGGAGGAAGAGGACAGGGAGGAAGAGGACGTGGAGGTGGCTTCAAAGGTACAGTGGGTTTCATTTCTTTGTTTGTAAGTTTGTTTTATCTATCTGTCTATCTCAAGAGACAGAGAGACCGTGAGGGTGGGGCAGAGAGGGAGAGAGAACCCCAAGCTCTTTTAGCACAGAGCCCAGTGCGGAGCTCGACCCATGAACCATGAGATCATGACTTGAACCAAAGTCAAGAGTCAGACGCTCAACCGATGGAACCACCCAGACACCCCAACTTTTGTTTCTTAATAAGTAAAGGTGAATGGTAACAACTAGCTGAAGTTCTCTGAAAGATCTTGGTGATTGAAGGACATACGACTAAAACCCCATTGCTTCTGTTTTGTGCTGGTCACCTGAGGAAAGGCTCCGCAATAATCAACAGAACATTCGACCCCCTTTCTATGGCTTGTGTAGAATATATGAATAAACACCGATAACTAGGTCAGCTTCTTTGAGGATTCTACACATAGCATCTGGTCATTAGCACGGGTTGACCTATAATATAGTTGATGCAGAATTGTCATGCCTTTGAAATATTTTCTCCTTGGTAGCATGCTAGATTTCTAGGTATTATGTAGCTGGAATCACTAGGTTGTTGATTGTATTTTAGATTCTGTGGTCTAAATAAATTGAGAATGTAGGAATAAAGAACTTGAAATAAGCATGTCAGAGTAACTGTTGAACCTTTTCAAAATGACCCTATAGGAAATGACGATCACTCCCGAACAGATAATCGCCCACGTAATCCAAGAGAGGCTAAAGGAAGAACAGCAGACGGATCCCTCCAGGTAAACCCGTGTGCCTCTCTACATCTAAATTATTTGAATTACTGTAGTTTAGGATTTAGGAGTTTGTTTGACTTGATTTTTAAACCTCTTCAAAGTTGCAGTGTTGGTACATGTGAAATATTTTCCTTTCAACACTACAATTGTGGGAAATCTTAGATCTTTGTGACAAGTTCAAAGATTTCTCTAGAGAATGTGCAGTCTTAGGCATTTGTGAAGACTTTGACAGCCCATTAGGACTTCGTTACCACATTAGTGGTTCCTCCCAATTCCCCTAAGAAAAGGCACATCCTGGAATATACTGAGAGGGAAACCTGAGTAAGCCCTGTGGAGCCCTCCTCCCCTGAGGGGTGGGGAGGGTGTCCTGTCTGGAAAGTAAGGAAAAGAAGGCATCTGTCTCATGGTAGTGATTGTGATAGACAGGGCTGAGGACACGCAGTTAGTACGTGCTGGACCCATCAGCTGCTTGTTTATAGCCAGCTTCTCTTCTGAGAATCCCACCTCACTTGGTCATCACCTATGCTGAACCCATTGTTAAAATAAGTTTTAAAATTACCCGAGCTTGTCAGACACTGTTCCTGAGTACTTTGTGTGTATGTTGTCTCATTTAATCTTACAGCAAACCCCTGAGGTAAGTAGTTGTATTTTTCTATTCTATAGGTGAGCAAACTAAAGCTTAGAAAGATTAGAAGATTCAGTCCTTTGCCGAGAGGTCGCCTAGTTAAGTGATAGTTGAATAAACCCTGGTGTCTGGTTTCCAGAACCCATATTCTCCTCTACTTTAACTCTTCTTCTTTTTTTTTTTTTTTTTTTTTTTTTTTTTTTTTTTTTTTTTTTTTTTTTTTTTAAGTTTGAGAGTGACCGAGACAGCACCCCTACCCAGGGTAGGGGCAGAGGGAGAGAGGGAGAGAGATAACAAAACCCCAAGCAGGCTCTGCACCGTCAGCACAGAGCCTGACGTCGGGCTTGAACTCACGAACCATGAGACCATGACTTGAATCGAAACAGAGTCGGATGTTCTGCTGACAGCCACCCGGGTGTCCACTTTGACTCTTAATTCTTAATCTAGTTAGGCTCCTTATTGACAACAGATTGGTTTGGAACCAACACCCAAAATTAGTGAGATACCAGCCTTGTCATTCCCCACTTACAGTGACCTGTTCGATGAATTTGGCCATGTGCTTATATTGGTTAAAAAGGATGCATATTCATAATTATATTTATGATTAAAACAGAATATCAAATAAAAAGGTTGTATTTTTTGTGTAGGGGATTAGATCCAAATCAAAGCACTAAACCCTTGACAACCAAACATTTCAAAATACACAGTGAGGGGTCCCTGGGTGGCTCAGTCCGTTAAGCGTCCAACTTTGGTTTGGGTCGTGATCTCACGGTTTGTGGGTTCCAGCCCTGCATCAGGCTCTCTGCAGTTAACATGAAGCCTGCTTTGCATACTCTGTCTCTCTGTGTCTGTCTGTCTGTCTCTCTCTCTCTCACTCACTGCCCCTCCCCCACTGGCATGCACACACTCTCTCAAAAATAAATAAACATTAAAAAACATACACACTGAGACGAACAGTTAAACATACTTTGAAATTATAGCAAACCATTTTGAGATATTTGTAGCATTTGCACTTGAAACAGATCGATATTTCTAGTTGTTTTAAGCCCTTTGGTCAATATTATCTTCTTTTTATACAACATCTGGAATTCTGTTAGCAGTGTTTAAGTGTTCTGTTATATAAATAACACTTAAACTGTTATTATAAATCTTAGAGTATCATTTCTCAATTACCTTCCTCTTTACATGCATCTTAGGGTTCCAGTTCTTCTACATGTTAGTGTCGTCAGATTTCCCTGTACCGTTATTATTCTTCAGACAGAGTTCGAATTGTGTGATCATCTGCCCTGCCTTACTGAATAAGCTTTGAGAAACCAACACTCCTATTTTTCTACTGTAAGACAGCGGGAGCCTCAGTAGAGAAAGTTAATCAGACCCATGGTAGATAATTAAGGTGTAAACTGAAGCCAGTTACCACCTTACTTGAGTTCTGTCTTTGGTAAAGGTGGAATAGGTAGGCATCAATTTGTGTCCCTCTTGGGTTTCACAAACTTTGAAGAATAACCCATTCTTTTGAACTCTGGTATTATAAATCTGTATTATCTCATAATTGATAATAGTAATTCATTTTAACTATTTGTTTCTCACTGTTTTATTCTACTTAGAAGAAGACACAGTAGGATTGTGAGTTTTTATCTATCTTTGGATGCAGTGAGATGACTAATGTGTTCCAGTTAAAGAAGAAGAGTGTTTTAAATTCATAAACAAAGTAAAGACCCTATCTGACCTTAATTTCTTGCACTTCTTCTGCTCTCACCCACATTTTCCCTTTTAACATGTGGAAGTTACACTTCAGGCTTAAATTTCTTGCCAGGCCAATTACAGATTGCAATAGGATATGGTCTGTGTATATAACAACTATAACTTGTTTTAGATCAGAGTTGACTGCAATAATGAAAGGAGTGTCCACACTAAAACATTACAGAATACCTCCAGTGAAGGTAATCGACTGCGCACGGGGAAAGATCGTAACCAGAAGAAGGAAAAGCCAGACAGCGTGGATGGCCAGCAACCACTTGTGAATGGAGTACCCTAAACTGCAGAATTCTGAAGTTACATTTCCTATACCATTTCCATAACTCTTATTCCATATTAGAAAACTTTGTTAGGCCAAAGACAAATAGTAGGCAAGATGGCACAGGGCATGAAATGAACACAAATTCTGTTAAGAATCTTGTTTTTTTTTTGATATTGGCCATAAGCAACAATTTTCAGATTTGCACAAAAAGATACCTTGAAATTTTGAGACATTGCTTTTAAGTATACTTTAGCACTTCAGGGCAGGATTTTAGTTTGGTTTATTTTTTAAAGTACTGAGCAGTGATATTTTTTGTTAATTTGGACCATTTTCCTGCATTGGGCGATAACTCACCAGTACATTTCAGTTTTTCTGAATAAATAGCATTTTTGGTAATCACTTCCGTTTTCAATCTCCTGTAGAAGTTCATGAAATACTGTCATTTCATGTCCTGTGTCGGTTTATGTTTGGTCCACTTTTCCAGTATTTTAGTGGACTCTGAGATGTGTGTGATGTGACGTTTGTCATTTTCATTAGCAAAAAAAAAAAAAAAAAGTTGTATGATCTGTGCCTTTTTTATATCTTGGCAGGTAGGAATATTATATTTGGATGCAGAGTTCAGGGAAGATAAGTTGGAAACACTAAATGTTAAAGATGTAGCAAACCCTGTCAAACATTAGTACTTTATAGAAGAATGCATGCTTTCCATATTTTTTCCTTACAAAAACATCAGGTTAGGCAGTATAAAGAATAGAACTTGTTTCTGTTTTTGTTTTGTTGCACTGAAGTTTGACAAATAGTGTTATTGAGAGGGATGTGTAATTTTTCTGTATAGACAGGAGAAGAAATAACTATCTTTTCATTTGAGAGAGGCTAAAATTAAAATGTTTTCAGCTAGGAACAAATCTTCCTGGTCGAAAGGTAGTAGGATATGCCTGCTCTTTGGCCTGATGATGACCAATTTTTAACTTAGCCTTTTTTATTTTGTCCTCCCCAAGTTTTGTGAAGTTTTTCATATTTTAATTTCAAGCTTATTTTGGGGAGATACGAAGGTCATTTTCATGTGTGCATAAGAATCCTGTGAAGTACAGGTACTTTGTGTAAGAAATATTGGAAGCAGGTTAAATGTTTCTAAACTTTGAAATATTAGGTCTAATGTATAAGAGGAATGGGAAAGCAGACTAGAATTGGTTAACAGATACTTTTCTTTAGTTTTTTTTTTTCCTTTTTTTTTTTTTTTTGATGTGTTGGGTTTTGGTTGTTTTGAGTCATTTTTATGAATCAGATTTACTGAGGAAAAATACGTGAAGGACCTTCACTCTTAAGATGTTATATTTTTCTTAAAAAAAAAAAAATAACTCCAAGTAGGGGTACCACTGAATCTGTACAGAGCCGTGCAAACTGAAGTTCTGCCTCTGATGTCTTTTGTGTTTGTTTCTTTGAATTTTCATTTTACAGTTACTTTTCCTTGCATACAAATAAGCATATAAAAATGGCAACAAACTGCACATGATTTCAAGAATATTAAAAAGTCTTTTAAAAGTATTGCCAAACATTAATGTTGATTTTTAGTTATTTATTCTGGGAATGTATAGTATTTGAAAACAGAAATTGGTACCTTGCACACATCATCTGTAAGCTGTTTGGTCTAAAATACTGTAGATAATTAACCAAGGTAGAATGACCTTGTAATGTAACTGCTCCTGGGCAATATTCTCTGTACATATTAGCGACAACAGATTGGATTTTATGTTGACATCTGTTTGGTTATAGTGCAATATATTTTGTATGCAAGCAGTTTCAATAAAGTTTGATCTTCCTCTGCTAAATTGATGTTGATGCAATCCTTACAAATGATTGCTTTTAAAATTTTAAGATAGGAAAAGAAATCTATAGAAAGTGTTGTTACAAAATGTAACTGTTACCACTGGAAGTTTCACATGTCCTAGGAAGTTAGCTGTTATCTACCAACACTCAAGAACTTGATCTTGTTCAATAAGGTGGAAAAAAAAATCAACAAAATGGTACAAAAGCACATTGTGCCATTACAATATGCACTAAGTCTCTTTTTTTACAAAGGCTGAATTCAGCAAGGCGCTAACTTGCTTAAATGTGAATTACTAACTTCTATAACTGTAATTTGATTCACATGTTTTCAAATGGAGTTGGAGTTGATTCGTATTACAATATTTGTGTGCTAAACGTGTATGTTTTTCAGTTCTAAGTCCTGATGTTTTTAAAATCTTATTAAAGTTTCAAAAATCTGAAGATTGTTTATCTAGATGTAAATTTTTATTAAAAAGTTGCACTTATGAAAAAGCAAAAAAATAGTCTGACAGATGTTTGCTCCTGGTCTTAAGTTTCTAAGTATAACAAAAATTAGCACTATCGGGGTGGGGGGAGTTACTTTATCGTGCAAAGCATATATGCCTTGCACACAATGTTTTATGTGCCCTTAAAACACAAACATGGCTGTTGGAAAATGGTTCTCCATATTCTTGGTTAAAGATTTCAACACATTAATTACATAGGGTACCACCAAACCATATTAAACACATACTCCTGTCTGTGCACATATAAATATACCCTGCCATTTGGAAAATATTAAATGTGTCTATGTCATTTAAGAAAGAAAGCAAAGCTTTGGATGTCAGCATCTCCGTAATAAGTGACAGGTTTGTAGATAGAATGTGCCTGAATTGGCTATTCTGGTCACTTCAAGAAACACCGGCACAGCCTAGAAAGTAGGGTAGAAATGCAAAGGTGATGGAGTCAAAATTCTACTCCGTGTTAGAATCCAAAACGATGTAATGATGCAGGACAGTCTTTCCAATAATGGCCTGCCCCTCCCCTCCCCCTCTCCCCCTCTCTGAAAAAGCTATGTTTTCTGCCTCTCTGATTCTGTTACCTGTGCTGCCCAGTTCTGGGCTCTTCCAGGGCCAAAAAAGCTGAACACAGTCCATTAGATGCGGTAGGTAAAAACAATTTAGGAGTGATTTGGTTGGGTTTTTCTGGTTTCACCATGGTTTTCAGTGCTACGTTATGAATAGCCTGTTTGCGGCATCAGCCTGGAGACTCAACTTGTCTCACTCAGAGGCATTTCTTTCATCTGGCCATGATCTCAGAGCTCCTGGTGCTTAGGAATACAGTGTCTTTTAGAGTCACTATACCGACTTGATCCTTGTTGAGTCCATTTGTCTTGGGGCCATAAACAGCATCTTTCCCTCATGACCCTCCGATGCCTCTGATGACAGTTATTTTGAAATCGCCATTAGCAGATTCTAGTCCTGATTGTTCAGAAGGCTTAACAGGTTTAAATCTTGAGCACCCTTTCCACTGTATGTTTGGGGCTATTTAGAAATTTTCTTTCCATTTCTTTCTGAGAACTTGCCATGAAGAAATGGGGAAATCCTTTTTTTTTATGCTAAGGAATTTCGTTCATGAGAGAGGCATTAAAGCTTTGCAAGTTGCACCTGCTAAATGATTGAAGCATAAGCTTCAAAATTGAGTGCTTAGAGTTTTTTCCCACCAATTTGTGTAAACCATACACTGCATTGCAGGGGTAGGTTGAAAATTGGGAGGAAGACTGAGTGTCAACAAAATATAGTTAACACAGAATCCTGGGAGTTGGGGTGTGTGATGAGGAGTATGATGTGGAACTTGGATGGCTTATGTGGAGAGGGAAAAAATTTCCAGTGTTATTTCTTCAGGTATAAAGTTTCTTTGTTAAGTACACAGGATGTCTTTGTCAGATTTCCCGGGAAATCAAAACCTGTAAGATACTGCATCAAAGAACAGGGTACAAGTACATGATAGAAATGGACATAGGGAGTTATGCTGTGGAAAAGGGCGTTGCTGCTGGGTAGATTCCACACTTGATCTGGGCATAGACTAGCTCTGTGATAACTGAGTTAAGCCATTTCATCTTCATATTTCAGTTTTTCCGTGGGTTAAATAAATGGTTGCTAAGGTATCCCAGCTGTAAAGTTGTACGTGCATTAATAAGTATTCATGTTTTATATGGAGAAAGCTACAGAAAGTCCGTGGTAATGAACCACCCACCTGATTTCATCTGGTTCTCCTTAAATGTTAGGTGCCAAATGATTACTATGTAGCAGGCATCTCACAAGCTTCTTGGGGATACCGGGGTAATTCTCGGACCTTCAAGAAGCTAACTGTCAGGTGGTAGAGATTGAATCAAGGGGCAGTTTCAGCATATGGTACGGTAAGTGCTAAAATGCACAGGCCGAGGTGGGAGCACCTAGGGGGACCTGCCCAAGTTGGGGTGGTGTGGAGCCTTAGTAAAGGGCTTCTCGGGTGAAGTGAGATCTTCCTTAGATTGGAGGAGGAGTTAGCCAGGTATAAGTATACATTAGTCTAGGCATGAGAAAGTCGATTCGGGAGGCTTCCAAGAGTGCAGTGTAGCTAGCACACAGGATTTGAGGGAGAGAGGTAAGACAGAGGTAGTGTCAGGGAGGCCTGTGATGCCACACTAGAGGTTGGATGTTAGGGAGCCTTGGAAGAGTCTTAAATGGTCAGATTTCCACTTGAAGTGTGGTGGGACAGACAGGATTGCCCCCTGACTCTGGGAGCCCATGTAACCTTGTAACCAGCTAGCAGGAGGGACTGGGCCCAGATAACTTTCCAGGAGGCTCCTCTGCCCCACAGTCCAAATCTAGCTTCCCACAAGGTCACAGGCGCTAGCGGTCTGTGTTCCCAGACACCTCCCCTGACAGCTGGCAGTTTTAAGCCCTGATTTGATCCTCTGCGTGCAAAGCCGTTATCAGGCTTGCTTTGTGAAAAGGCAGACTCCCAGAGAAGAAATAACCTTCCCCCCGAGTACAGCCCCACTGTGCAGCCAGCGCTGCCATGACTTTTAGGTGTCCCTGCAATAGAAAATAGGCATCCGTGTGCATTTTCTTGCTGGTAATTTTCCCTTAGTAAAACGTCTCCCTTTGTGTGGTGGTGTGCTGTTTGCCTTCACCCACTGTTTCACAGATGGTGCCCAGCAGGAGGCAAACACCGCTTATTCTAGCGCTGGCTTTTTGGAAACTGCAAAAGGGATCCACTAAGCCATACCCGGATAGACAACAGCCTTCCCAGGGCTAGTAGTGGGAAACCTGGCCTAGCGGAAATCACTGGGGAACATGAACATGAACATGTCATTGCCGTGCTTATTTATGGCCATTCCATGTGCCACACGGGCCCTGGAAAGTCTTCCATGTAAGGCAGATTGACACCATTTGATCCCGCAGCATTCCCCAGGCAGCCAGCCCTGTGAGCCCTAAAAAGAAAGAAATTGTGGGGGAAGAGCCTTGGTTCCAAATGCCACTAGAATAGTTGGTTAAGCATCTGACTCTGATTTCCACTCAGGTCATGATGTCACGTTTCGTGGGTTTGAGGCTCATGTCCTGCTCTGTGCTGACAGTGCAGAGCCTGCTTTGGGTTCTCTCTTTCTCCCTCTCTCTGCCCCTCCCCTGTGCCTGCTCACTTGCTCGCACTCTCCCCCCCCCAAAATAAACCTTATTTAAAAAAAAGAATAGTAGATGCAAGCTAACCTCTTCGATTTGAAATCGGACATTGTGCAGTGTACCACCCGGGGCATAGGGGGGTGGGGCTGAGGTACACTAGCAGGGAAATGGACTTGGGTGAACAGTCACAGGAATACCCGGAGGCTTGTGAGGCTGGCATGATGAAGAAGCTGCACCCATGAGGTGAGTGACACCGAGTAGCCAGCATTTGGGGTTTACCGGAGGATTCCCTGGTGCTGAATGAATTGGCTGGTCTGACCAATGGGAAGAAAGCAAATGTGCCTGCCCTGTGCTTGAATTGGAGGCACATAGAAATGAGTGTCACACAGCCACCAAGAGGAAACATTCCTGAGACACAAGATGCAAAGTGTGACGTCCCCACTGAGGTCACAGCAGCTTTGAGGTGCTTTGCTATTCTAGCATGGTTGTACGAAAACCCTGGGCATCAGGGAGAACTTGTGACCAAATGACTTTAATTCAGGGAGTGCTAGGCAAGCTAATGGCGTCTTACACCAGGAAGACCTCCCTAATTTTACTCCTTCTGCAGGGAGTAAGGGCTGGGATAGTCCTCTGGGGGCTGACATAAGCCCAATCCCAAGGTGGGAGATGAGATAAGGGGACCCAGGTCTCAGCAAAAGTGGGAAGGCAGAAGAGGACTCTCTAGACCTTTTCTGAGGCTCCCTCAGGCAGCGTGCGATGGCTCTGGGTCTTGATCAAAGGGGTCCCTAGGGAAGGAGGTAGATGGGAAAAGCTAGTGGGCTGATAAGTAACCCAAGTCGCTCTAAGGAGGTCGCAGGGAGAAGCTGGGAAGGCGTGCAGCAAACGATAACCGATCTTAGATCAGGCATTGAAGAGACCCCTATAGAGTAGAGAGCTGGTGCCAGGGGGTCCTGGGCGGGGAATTCCTCCTGGAGATGGAGGCCATTCGTTTTCCCCACTGCCTGGCTAGCAAGTCTGCAAAGCCTCCCGTGCATGTGCTTGGAGAAGCCTCCAGAGGAGGCCCCTAAGTGGTTAGTCACATCTTAATGCTGCTGAAAGAGACTCTCAAAGAATTCCCACCTCCAACAGACGTCTGTGCCACCCGGGAGACTGACTTCCTAGTCCAACTGCTAGAGGGCCCTTCCATTCAGATTTGAGTTCATTCAAAAGCAAACTTGGCCCAGGCCCCAGTCCTCTGCCCTTTTCAAGGGCATTCTGAATTTCTGTCCTGGTCCGTGTTGTCTGGAACAGAGGTGTGGGGAGGATTCGGCAGACTGGGACCCACCAAGACACTGCAGTCTGAGGAATAAGTGTTCTTGGCCCGGAGAAGTGCACAGTAAATGAATTTCCCTGGCAGGATTTGAGATTGGTTTCACTTACAGCCAAGAGACTCAGCACAATTCCCACAGAGGCCATGGGTCCCTTTGTCGGCCTGCATGATAGGTTAAGGGTGTGCTGGGCTCCCTCAGCCCGGTGTCGTATGCTGGCCCGCGGAGAGGGCGTGAGCACTGCCATCTCTCCGTGTGAAGGCAGAGCCTCATGGATCCCCAAAGCCTGCCGGGGTTGTGCAGTCAAAACAGTATCACATACCATCAGGTGGGAAGGAAAACACAAGGCTTCTCCATTGCCAGGAGGGAGTGGTAAACCACGCTGTCTTCCAAGTCCCAGCCCTCTCTAGCCGCTGAGGAAATCCAGTGTTGGTGGCCGCTGGTCGCAGGTCATTGTGGTCTTAACAGTGGCCACTGTGGCACTCAGAGC